GAGAGTCTTTGGATATGAGAAATTTGATTGTAAGGTCAATATGACTCATATTTGTAGTAACCCCACCTACATGTGTTTTCACTGTTTTGAAGAGTAATCACTTTTCGTCTGTACCTGTATAAAACTATTGAATAAAAAAATATACAGTTACGACATTTTTTACGTAAAAAATGTCTCTTAGTAAAAATTGCTACGAGTAATGGTTCTCGAGATATTTGGAATCGAACTTATCAATACCTGTCATTATTGACATAAATTAAACACGTTGACTAAATAGTTATTAGACTGAAATCATAAATTTGATTTTTTTTTGTGCCAAAAGTTTAGTGTGTTTAAAGTTTAAACTGTTTTATAAATATATATAGCAAAATGGCTACTTTTTTATGAAACTAAAGCTGGTAAACACATATTTGATGCCGCTGTTAAAAATTTACGATAAAAATATATGAAAAAAAAAGATATAAATCTTTTCTAAAAAGACATAATTCTCAAAAAAAAATTTAGTCCTTTGGAAAATGACTTGTCATTAAAAAATATTTCAATATTTTTTATTGGCTTAAATCTTTTATAAAAAGACATAAATCTTTTTCTATTTTGGAATAAAGACTTAAATCAGAAGTCATTTTGAAAATGACTTAAATTTTAAGTCTTAAGTCAGCTTTCGAAATATGACTTAAAATCAAATGATTTAAGTAATTAAAATGATTTAAGTCAAAAAAAGACTAAGGCTTTCTGTGAGCTTGCAGCTCACTGTATTGATGTCTAAATTACAGTATTTACTGGGTTAAGTTCAAAACTACACAAAAAAGGTTTTTGGAATATAAAACAGGAACATGTTTTCATGTAACTGATTTCAGTTATTCTAAAGTTAACACTATTTTATGAAATTTTATATTTTCGCAGAAAAAATTTTGTGTGTTTATTTTTAGAAAAGTGTTTAGAATGCAAAGCAGGAACATGTTTTTATTAACACTGATTTCAGTTATTCTAAAGCCGGAGAAAAAGAATGATGCATTACCGCAGACAATTTTTATCATTTTGTATTTTGGGAGGCAAAGTATATCTATGTACCCGGATTGTCTTTACAAGAGGAAAAACTCTTGTATTGTTGAGATTTTTAGAAAAATGCATTCTTCATAAAAATTTTTGCTTGTTCTAAAATGGTTAATCCCGTTTATACTTTTCCAAATTTTTATTCAGTTTTAGAGGAAATTAAAAAAAAACGTGAAAATATAGTCGATTTTTTTCCTACTAAATCAAAACGCGTTTCTATGGTAATATAATTCCGTTTTCATTCTATGACAGATTGTTACTCATAGAATTTTAATTAAAGTCATATTTTTTGCTGTTTTAAGATGTTAAAGAAATACAAAATTTATTTAGTTCATGCTACGGAAAGCGTGATAATAGTTATCGGAAAATGTGATACTTTAACAGCAAAAATATGACGTTAATCAAAATTAACAATAACCATCTATAAAAGAATTAAATCTAAATTCTTTTTACGAGCTAACTTTAAAAATGTTTTCGAATCTGCCAGAAAGCACTCTGAATCACCTAACTACTTTAATAAACATGTCATTCCAAAATGGTATTTTTCCAAAATGTCTTAAGACGACAATAATCATTCCTCTGCATAAAGGAGGAGACAAAGATGAAGCTTCTAACTATCGCCCAATTGCACTCCTTCCAACGCTATCTAAGATCATAGAAAGGTTGGTTAAAGAAAGGCTATCTTTTCTGTTTAAGTACAAAATACTTACTGAACATCAATTTGGTTTTCTAAGCAACAAGTCCACAAATGACGCTATGTTTTCCCTCCTTAATAAAGTTTACTCCAGCCTAAATAACCATCATTCTACAGCAACAATTTTCTGTGATTTTTCTAAGGCGTTCGACTGTGTAAATCATAAGATCCTAATTAATAAAGTGCAGCACTATCAGGGCCGGATCTACCTAAGGGCTGTTTGGGCTGCAGCCCAGGGCCCCGAGGTTACAAGGGGCCCCCAGACCCCGCTAAAAACAATAGGCGATAATTTGAATCAAAAAAAAATCTAAATAAAAAAAAACTACCATAATTTTTAATTACTGCACTCATTACAAAGTATTCACGTATTCAAATGCAACGATTATCTCGTTCACTGTTTATTTATCAGAAAACTATCAAGTTCATTGTTTATTTTCATTCATTATTTACAATAATGTCTGGTCGAAAGTATAAAAGTGGCTGAGAAACGCAAATTACAGCTAGATTGAGAAAAAGAAAGAAAAAAATGTGCAAAAATTGGGACTTTTTTCAAATCAAAACATAAAAACGAGGACGAACTCGCTGAAAATTCATCAACAAGCGCCAAGGAAGGGATCTTATCTGAAGAGAATCTATTTGAAGGAAGTAGCAAATCGCAACACCAAGAAAAAAAGACAAATGATGAAAATGTGCAAAGTTTTGACTACCAGCAACCCTCTGATCAAACGGAAACGATACTGGTGTTCAGCGACAGGATGGTAACACAAACACGGAGACAGAGACACGGATTTAGAGAATACCTATTAATTTTGAGTTTGAGAAATATGTTGACGTGGGCTTGTGGCCAGAATTGCTAAATAATGATTTAATGACATCCTCTCACATAAAATGACTGACTTTCAAAATAAAAATCCAAAAAATATATATTCAGCTTCTATAAAGAAATACAAGGAACAAAACAGAGCATTTTCAAATAGCCATTTCACTAAAAAATGTAAAATGGTCAATCACTGGAAAGATCTTTGCTAACATATTCAACCAGTGTTTGTGCTGTTTTTTGTTTGCCTTGCAAACTTTTTTTTTAAACCTCTTCTCAATACACGACTGGAATTTCTGATTGGAAACACATAGGAACTTGTTTAGAAACCCACGAAAATTCTAATGAACATAAGAAATCAATGTTGTGTGGTTGACACGAAAAGAAAATAAATTGCCTTACATTTATTTAATATTCTACAAGACTTTATAGAAACAAATGGATTACTACTGAGGGGGCAATCTTATGACAACGCTGCCAATATGACGGGTCACTACAATGTTTTTTGACATGGCTATAATTGAGTACTTAGGTAGGCCCCTAAGTAGTTTCAGCCCAGGGCCCCACAAATTCACGATCCACCTCTGAGCACTATGGGTTCAGGGGAACATCTCTCGAATGGTTTAAGTCGTATCTGAGCAACAGAAGTCAGCTTGTGAGGGTGGATACCACGTTGTCTTCAACCAAACCAATAGAATGTGGAGTACCACAAGGCTCAGTACTAGGTCCTATTTTGTTTCTTCTTTTTATTAAAGACATTGCTAACATAAACATCAGTGGCAAAATATGTCTTTTTGCGGACGACAATAGCTTCACTTGGAGCAACAAGGACATCACGGCACTTCATAGGATTATATCAAATGACTTAATCACCATTAAATCTTGGTGCGATTCGAACCTCCTGAGTCTCAACATTTCTAAAACTAAAGCTTTGTCGTATAAAAACTTGCTGCAGCCTTTTGTACTTAACAACACCACCATTGACGTCGTAAAATCTGTAAAATTCTTAGGGCTTAATTCTCTGAAATGGGACATGCATATCGAAGCTTTGTCGAAAAAATTGAGCTCTGCCTGTTTTGCATTAAGATCTGTTTCTAAGGAGCTTAACTTGTCAGTGACTAGAACTATTTATTATGCACTTTTTGAGTCGCACCTCAGGTATGCCCTTCCATTCTGGGGTACGTGTTGTGCGACTCAATTTGACCGCATTTTCAAGCTCCAGAAGAGAGCTGTTCGATATTCACTGGGACTAAACAGCAGAACTCATTGCCAGGACTTTTTTAAAAAAATAAAAATATTAACTCTTCCTTCCTTATTTATATTTGAATCCGTTTGCCTAATACGTAAGCATGTATCAGCTTCTCAAGAAAGGCCATCTCACACTTATCCACTCAGGAACGCGGAGCAAGATCTTTATCTACCTACCCCACGCTCACAGTTAAGTTAAAAGTTCAATATTATACAACTCGAAAAAAATGCACAATCACTTGCCATTTGAAATCAAATCCATAACATCATTTTCTTCATTTCGCAAAGCATTGAACTCTTATTTACTAGACAAGGCTTTCTACGTCGTAAATGATTACATTTTGATAATCGAATTTGATCTTGTAAACACTGGTCTAATGTTTGCTATTGCTATATTTACCAATGACACCGAAATAAATTTATTTAGAGGTCATTGATATTTACTATCAACTAACTAAATATTTTTGAATAATATTATTTTTATTTTTTTTTATTCTTTGACATTGTAAACATTTTATTTTTGACAATAAAGGCATTTATTTATTTATATCTATTTATTTTTACCATAGAAACGCCTTTTGATTTTTAGGACTAGAAAAAATTAAACCATATTTTCATATTTTTTTTAATTTTCTCTTAAAGTGTATGAAAATTTGGAAAAGTATAAACGGGATTAACCATTTTAGAACAAGCAAAAATTTTAATGAAGAATGCATTTTTCTCAAAATGTCAGTAATAAAAAAGTATTTCATCTTGTAAAGACAATCCGGGGACATACTGTATACTGGATGTTTTGTTGTTTTTTTTATAAGTGATTTCAACTAAAAAAATTCACCCGAACTAGTTTCCAACTCAACCGACGATTGATTTTTTTTCTAAAATGGTTCTTCTAGTATTGACTACATTTTTTGACTCTTGCCGAAAAAACGCCACATCGCATAGGTTAAACTATTATTTTCTAAATACTTTTTGGCTGTTTTAAGATAAAAGAAAATAAAGTGGTTTATTCCTGTTACCTATGTCATCAAACAATTATTATGTTAAGCACTTAATGAACAAAATTCACACTGCCTTTTATCCTATTTACTGCTATTATATCTTAATCCTACAGAATCATATGTTTACTATAAGTTTACTTTTGTTTTCACGCGTATCTTTCTCTGTTTGTCGTTTATGTTATTATTCTAGTCTTATTAAATAGTTCGGCGTAGGTACTACAGTACTACATAGTTGTGTTGAATCGTAATAATATGCTTTGAAACAAGCAACACAAATTTGTTGAATTATATTCGTAGTGATGTATACTGCATACAGGAAAGTCAATAAGCAAAATCCTAGAGAAACTGCAAACTTACTTTCGTTTTTAACTTTTGGGTAAGTAGTAAAATTACTTATACAGGGTGTTTCAAAAAACATGTGCCATCTCTCGTGGGGGAGATTCGTGACGTAAAACTAAGATTTATTTGTTATATCAACATGGGTCCGATTCAGCTTTGTTTCGTAGCTACAGGGCGTTAAAATCTTTTTTTTTTTCGATTTATTATTATTTTCTTCCAAGTACTTTTAGTGATTCGAATGAAATTTCGAGGGTAAAAGTTACTATAAATGCTACATATTTTAATGCTAAAAAAGTGTCGACATATTCATCAGGAACGTGCATAAAATTGGGTTGCCACTGCAATATTTTTCTAAAAAAGGCATGTATGCCACTGACTTTTTTCTCTTGTTAGCGAAATGTGTAAAGGTACGTTTACATCTGACATTTTTATCAGGACATAAGTGTCTATTGTCTGACATAATCTGTCTCACAGACTGTTTACATTGTATAGATATTACTTATAATTTATTTACGCGAGATATGTCTAAAGCCAAAATCAGGACATAAGTGTCTAGTGTCTGACATAATATCTCACAGACTGTTTACATTTTATTTTCGCGAAATATGTCTCAAAGCCAGTATCCAATAGCTACATGAACAGAGATGAAGATATCGAAAAGAAAAGCTGTAGCAATTATTATTTTACTGTCAAAAGTGAAAAAGCGTAATAAGAAAAAACGTTCTGTGTGGGTTCGAGACTGGATTTTGCGACGTTAGGAACAAGGTGCTTATACACAATAAATTCGTGAACATAGTGCTGAAGATCCAGCACAATTCTCAAATTTTTTACGAATGAAACCCCGCGACTTTCAAAATTTGGCCAATAAAATAGAGCCCCTTGTGTACAAACAAAATACCAAATTTCAAGAGCGACTTGCTGTAACATTGATAACATCTGTAAACCTATCTCTCTAAATTTTACTTTTCACATCCCAAAGCTCGGGTTTATTGTGGTACACATTAATCAAATTCATAACTTCACTTTTCACCCATTCCTTGTTATCACCCATCGTTTTAACTGCGAAATTACTTCCCGACACTCTCTCAAAAAGTAGACGGCTATTTAACTAATGCAATTTATTTCAGACAAGTCAGAACTTCTCTCATCCAACTGTTTACACTTACGTCTACATAAATGTCGATATAAATCGCTGAAGACAAATACATATATATCAGATATAAATTTTAGGGTGTTTACATTAGCAAAAATGTCTATCTGACATAAATATCAAGCAATAAGTATCAGATGTAAACGTACCTTAAGCAATTTAATGCCGATTAAAAGTTGTCTCTTCATTTCTTGTCGATTTCGGCCTCCTTGATAAACGCAATTTTATTAATTTGCCTTGATCCAAGTCTAATAGCAACCTTTAAAATATTCTAATATCATTAACTTGCAAATGTTTTGTTAAATAAGTACTCATTGATTCCTCATCAAAAAATATGAATAATCATGGGTATGGAAATGCATAGTTTTAGAGTTACAGGATGTTAAAACTTTTTAAATATTAGATTTTTTGTAATTATCTTTAACACGATTATTTTTTTATTTAAAATTGCTGTAGGTTGGACTAATAGTAATAATATTTAATAATAAATTAGATAAAATATAAAATTTATTAATTTTATTTTATTTTAATTTAATTAATTGTGATAATAATTAATTAATCGGCATTAGACTGCTTAAAAAATATTATGTAGGGGTGGGGTAGTTTTCACCCTTTTCGTACGCTTTCTGTTTTTTTTGTTGGGTTGTTAGTTAAATACTAAAACGCCTAAGATAACATAAGCACCCCAAATCTCATGCTATTCGGAATATTGGTTCTTAAACTATTTTAAAATATCTGTTTATTATTTTTTTAATTTGATACCCTCTAATGGACAAACGTCGCATTTTTGTATAGAGGTAAATTATGTCCAATTAACGTATGTACCTTATTTTCAGAAATACGTAAAAGTTCCATGTCCACGGAATATTGGGACACCCTGTATACACACCAACTACTAAATTAGTAAAAATATAATTGCATAAACGCTATTTTTTTATTTAGATATACCATAGGGTTATTCAAGAAAGGCTATAGACGGGGCTTAGATGAGTCTGATATATACGAAATCCCCCAGAATTGTGAATCAAAACGTTGTGGTGACAAAACAGAAAAGTCATGGGATACGTCAAAAACAATGCTACAATTGTTATGGAGAAGATTTGGTAAACTGTTCTTAATTTATACAACAATTCATACAACATGGACTACTATTAATAGGTATTAAAAATATCTATAACTCTATAACTAATATTTTGAATAAATTTAGAACTATTTTTTAGAAATATCTTTTTATAAACACGAATTAGAAATTTAAAAAAGGCATCCATTTTTCTCAAAGAGACTTGGTTCACATTAAAAAGGTAGAAAAAAGAAAAAAGAAAGAAGAAACCGAGACTTTGAGTCTTTTTTCTACCTTTTTAATTTTAACACGAACTAGTTTTGATTGCTTTGGTTTCAACTTTTTAATTCGTGATTCTCTAGATTTTTTTAATTTGATTTTGCATGTCTTGATTTTAATTTTCTAGAAGCTACAGGTACTAGAAGACAGTCGCAAACATATCATATACATGCAGAAACTATCTGTTAGATAGCACAACATGTTTTTAGTATAATATGTTCTTTATTTCAAACATTTAATAATCAACATTATTGGCTAGTTTAAATTGCATGGCTGTTTATTACATGCTTGGTGCATTTCAGTTGATTTCAAAAAATTCCGACCACAGCGCTGTATACGGCAGATCAGAAATTTTCGCTATTTTCCGATTGACTGTGGGGTGTAGAGGTCCGATAAGGAGGGGTTTTTCGAATCTTAAATTCCAAGTGGGTGAAAACGCCCCTCAAATATTACAATATTTGTTATTTAACTTAGTTTAGTCTTTCGGGAAAACGCTTGGACACGCATAATTTATTTTGATTTTTTACATATTTTTAAATTTTTTAAAAAATCATACAGGGTGTTTCAAAAAGTTAGGTAATTGATTAATCACGATTCTGCTTAAACTACTTGATTCTTGCTTTGCTTTATCATCACCATTACAAATGATTAATTCGACGCGAACGAAGTTGCGGGTACACGCTAGTTGAAACTATAAAACAGTCAGGTACGAGGTTTGTGTAATGTAATGCTGTTTCGGGTAGTAAAAAATAAGTGAAAAAGAATTTATTGAATGTTATTGCACCCAACAACGCCCTAATTATGCTCTCATTTACGCGTTAACACAACACGACGGCGACGCCTAGTTCGAATTCTTTTTCACTTTTTACTTTTCGCTACCCGAAACAGCGTTACATCACACAAACCTCGTACCTGAGTGTTTTATAGTCTCAATAACTGCACTAGCTAAAAAACTAAAATACTTAAATAATATGACAAATCCACGATTTCAATATTATTTTAATGCGATCAACATGACGGCGCACAGTGTAACGAAAACTAAAATAGTGGGACATTGGCATTTTTCTTCAGTTATCACTACTCTTGCTGAAATTTTTTGACAGAAATTAAATAATACGACTAGGAATTTTTGCTACAGGACGAAAAGAGTAAAAAAGGCGTAATGGAAGGTCAAAAAAAAATACGAAGTTTTATAAAAGGATTTTACAGGTATATTTTTTTTTATTTACGAAGAGTTTATAGCTCTTATGGACCAAAAACGTTATCAAATTACTGTCGAACAATCATTTATCTCCCGCTAATATGTCAAAACTCAATCAACGTTCCTAAATATTCAAATAATCAGGGATAAATTAGATAAGACTGCAAAACTCAAAGAGAACGACACAAGTGGCAAATATCTTTTAACAGTATTAAATAATATGATAATATCCGAAAAAAACGTATTCAACTTCAACAGAGGAAACCATAATACACACCTCACAAAAAATTTCGCAACACTTATATTTTTCGTAGTATTTATTCTTGAAACGCTTCAAACATTTTTATGTGAAAAACTTAAATCTAAGATCTGCTTGAGTTATGATATACTTTCCATTCCTTAACAAATTGCTATTGATGCAAATAACTTTTGAGATTATTGTTAACCAAGAGAATTTAAGAGTACTTTGCAGTTTTTCAAATTAATAAGTGATGCGATAATTTATGTGGGGTGTATATTATTCCAAAATAACATAATATGTAAGGCACTTACATAAAACATGCTTAAAAATCATTCTCAATTTCTTCTCCATCCATAAACAAGAGCTCTTTCACTTCCGGAAACAAGTCTACTTTTTTATTTTTAGAGTGCTTTGGTCGCAGATGTGAAAGTAGAGGATCTGAATATATCAATAAGTTGTGAAATATATCTTCAATAGTTTCCTTACGACCACTCTTCCTGGAAAAATTTTGGCGGAACGATCGAAATTCTTTGTTTCTTGATTCAGATGCTTCTTCGGACAGTTTGCTGATGGGTGTAAATTGAAAACGTTCACAGATATTTCCACCATGAATCAAAAGCATATGAATGCTTGAAGGCATATAATACCAACCGTAAAGGGAAACAAATAGTTCTACTGTCTCTTTCATGTCACCAAACTACGGTCGAATCAATGAAAAACGTAATTATTGCCGAAGAAATTAATTTTTTTCTTCCAGGTTCGGATCTAGGTGGATGAAATTTATATGTAACAGTATACTAGAAGGTTCACTCTATGATATTTTGTATATTATAACCTTGCGCGAATGTAAGCGTTTTTTTTTGAAACTCATAATAATGGGACATTTTTTTCAGGTTTGTTGTTGGTAAAAGACCTCTCTTTACGGAAAAAATTGTTGGAATTGAACAACACAAGGAAACTTTTGAAAATAATAAAATTCATTGTATGAAATTTTTGTACAGATTTGGTAAATTAAGGAAACCAGAACTTTAACCCGCCATAACTCCTCGACTAAGAGGTCAACTCAAGAAATATCTCACATGGTGGAGCTCTGGGATGTCCTTTATCCATCTATATAAAAAACTTGATGAATTACATTTTTTGTTTTTTGGGCTAATGTCCCGCAATTCCCGATTTCGTTATACTGTGCGGCGGCGGCGGCGTGAAATAGATACTGATAATTTCAGATTTTTGCCGTTGAAGCGCTGCGGTCGGAATTTGTTGAAATCAACTGAAATGCACCAAGCCTATACAATTTTTGTTATTTTTATACGAATACTAAAAAACATTTTTAGTTCTCTACGTCCATATGCTATGAGTAAATTCGTCTCTTGTTTTGATAAAAATCAATCGACACTAACCAAGAGTGATGCTTTTTATTATGGAGGAATAGTAATATTCTTATCATTGTTGAGATGCCTGTGGGTCCACAATTACTACATGCTGGAATGTATTTTAAGTCTACAAATAAAAGCTTCTATTTCTTCACTAATATACAGAGTAAGTATGCATGTTATTTTTTTACTCCTTATACATACAGGGTGCTACAAAATCGAGGGACGAGCATTGGTATCTCGAAAACCGTAATAGATACGATTCCATCAAAAAAGTTTTAAAAATTTCACGGATTGCTGATTTTTTTGGAAAAAACGTTTTTTTTTGAAAATCAATTTTATTTTTCCCTGTTCTTACTTTTTAGAAAATCAAAAAACTAATTGCACACTCTCATAGCCACTTTATTAGGGCTATCTGATAGTATTTTTAGATTTTCAAATTAGCTGATAATTTGTGCGATACAGAGACCAACTTAATTTTTTTAAATACGGACCTGCATTTTTTATTTCAGTTTTTAAAAGAACTCGGTTTCCTGAGTAAAATGATATGCCACACTTTATACTTTTTTTGTTTTGGGTACCTTAACAACAACAAAACTATTTAATTATTATTTAAAATAATTTCAAGTCCGACTCTGGTTTTCTAAATTATTTAATGTGATTATACTCATCGCAACAATATTGATCAGTGCTAATTAGCATTGAATAAGGAAAACCGAACCAATTGAAAGATTCAAATAAATAATATCCAGGTCAGCAATTTAAAGATATTATTTTTATTTTTCTATTGGGAATTTGAAATCTGAATGTACGATCTAATAACAGGCATCATATTAATAGTAGTTATTATAAATAAATGAACTTTTACAAACTAGTTTCTAAAGCCCCATACTCACACTTCGCTCCTTCCTCGCCTTACTTCCTCGCGTTACTTCCTCGCGTTCCTTCGTCCCTTCGCTTCCTTCCTTCGTCTATTCGATGCTTGGAAATTAGTCAGTGATGCAACAACACACCACAAAATATTTTTAATATAACAGCTACATGTTTAATACGAAATATCTAGTAACCTCTAAAATTTTTAAAAAATCCGAAAGGCGCATAATTTTTATTTTATAAAACTGCAATTCTTTGTCAATAAAAATTGAATTTTAATAATATATTTTTTTAATAAATCCGAATATTTCAGTATCATGTACAAGGTATATCAGTATGAATGTACAAGGCGAGTCAACAATAGAGTAAAGTTTATTATGTAATTTATATCGAAACCATGAAATATGACATACTAATTAAACGTTAATAATGTCAATCCCCATTTCTTCAGATATTTTTGTAAAGGCATCATGCATATTATTTCTATTTTTTTATTTTTGTCGCTACGATTACATAAATATGGACATGTATTTTTTCACAAATATGAAGACAATATTGTTTTTTTTTTAATTTTTTAGAGTATTGTGTGTGAATTATTTTTATATCGACTGGCGATTGCTAGATGTACAGGATGTCCCATTTGTGTGTGTTTTATGGGGTTTCTGGTTTATGAGTAGAGATATAAAGATGCTGTTTTCACATCATTGTTCTACTTATTATGAAACTAAATATGGTACATAAGAAATAAGAAATAACTTTGAAATACATATTTATCCTAGCCTTCTTAGTTCAAAGTTATTTCTTATTTCTTTCTTTTACTTTTTATTTTTTAATTAGTAGAAATTTTTGCATTTTTCGATAACCTTTGTATCTCGATTATCTTATAACTTATCGAAAAGGTGAGAAGGGTCAGTGATGGGCGGTGGGTAAGTACCCAATTTGTAGATAAATAAAATCTGGGTATATATGTATATACCTGTAGATTTAGATGAACATCCTAATTTTAATAAAAGGAGTTTCCGACGACGACATAGTAAATACCCGGTATAATGCCGGTAATAGAAATATACCAATATATAATATCTACAATATATATAAGAAATATTGTAGATATACTCGTATTCCTGACATTACTGGTATTATATCGGGTATTTACTATGCGGTCGTTGGAAATACCTTTTATAAAATTAGACTGTTCATCTAAATGTACAGGTATATACCGGATACCCTGATTTTTGTTTTATTCTACCTATTGAGTACTTACCCACCACCCGTGTCTCGTTTTTCAGGTAGAATGGCAGTGACGAAAGTGGTTCTTCCTTGGGAGCTGTCTATTTCGAAAAATGACTCAAACTTATGTTCTTTTTTTTTAAACAGGACACTTAATTTTACCAGATAATTTTGCTTTGCATCGTGATATTTTGATAAACTACACGGAAACTGAACTTGTGCTGCTTTTAAATAACATGCCAATAACCAACATTTTACGTCGAATAAATTAGTTGATTGTTTTGATTACCTAATTTAAACCGGCCGACTATGTAATAAAGTTAAATAATGCATTTTTACCCCGTTTATGAAAATAAGTATTTTAGAAAGCTCGTAACAAGGAAAATAAAATAATATACAAAATATCGTATTTAAAAAAACATATAAGTTTCAGTCAATTTAAAAAAAGATGTCAGAGTTACGTCACTGCATTCTACGTGAAAAACTGTACGGGAGACCCTTTTTGACCTTTTCGATAAGTTATGATACAAAGGGGATCGAAAAATGCAATAATTTAAGATTCGCCCTCTATTTTAGGAAGTAAGAGGAGCTAGGACATATCTGTATGTAGCATCTTTAGTTTCATACAAAAATTAACAGCGTAATGTGAACACCGTATCTTTGTATTTCGACTCATAAACGAGAAACCCTGCAAAACACACGAAAATGGGACACCCTGTACAGACGTACTGCCAAATCAAGAAATCAACTACGAATGAAATCCAAGATCGATTTAAATATTTTATATATTTTAATATTTTTTTGTGTTCGTGATAATTCCTTTGCTACTTCCTCCAAAAACCGACAGTACGTGGAAGGACCGTTTCGAGGAAGTAAACGGACGAAGTAGCGTTTTGACGAAGGAGGAAGGAACACACAGTCGCATAAAATCTACATTTTCCCATAGTAAATATTTGATTTTTGAACGAAGGGACGTGAGGAAGTAACGCGAGGAAGCAGCGAAGTGTGAGTATGGGGCTTAATGCACTACAAGTTCGAGTTACCATCTTTCCAATTGCCCAAATTTATTATTCGTTCGATTTTATTTATAGCTCTTTGAACAGATCTTCTTCTTATACCGTATGATCGAAAAAAAACGGCGTCCAGTTGGCTTGGAAATGACGATCGATGACATTTCCCATATAATTTTACATATAAAATGACAGCGATTTTTATTTCATAGCCATCGTTGACGCCGTTTTTATTCGATCATACGGTACTTCCGAATGCATTTGGTACTCTTTATTGTAAATGTTGAGATGTATTGATTTCACTTTTACATATGACATCAAGTAATGCAGTTGGCAAGTCTGCAACCTCGCTGGCCATTCAAATTCATCTGACCAATCAAATTCATCTTCCGGGGAAATGATTTGATTGTTTATAATATTATATTTATATTATTTATTTTATGTTATTTTTTATTATATTTTTTTTTGAGTTTGATTTTCCGTATTCAATGTTTTACCCCACGTTATTGTTAAGTTTGAAAACTAATCAATATTTTTATAAATATTTAAAGAAACAGAGCCGAACTTGAAATCAGTTTATATAAATTGGGGCTTCGCAGATATTTTTATAGAAACAAACAGAAACATGAACGAATTATTTGGACAGGAAATAAAAAAAACCGAATAACTAGTAGATAAAAAAACAGGCCGAATTTTAAAACTGAAACTGCTCAAGATTATTACAGATTATCAATCTTTATTCCTTTTTTAAATTACGTAGTATTACATTTGGAAGAACGATTTGTTAAACACAAAGACATACTACGGTCATTTAGCTCTCTTATTCCTTCCTTAAATAAAAAAAAAAACATTTTTAACCTTAAAATTGTTAAAGTCTTACCTACGTAACACCGTAAATGAGGACAGGATAAATGGCTTGTCTTTTGTATATGTATCCAGAAATATCTGTTAGTACAGGAGATGTACTTAATGAAATGCAGGCAAAAGCCAAAAAGCCGGATATTGTTATTTAATTTTATTTGTATTTGTGCTTTTTATTTATTCACTTGGCCTTTTGTTTGTTTCCTCTTTTTTTGTTATTTGTTTCTTTAATTTTTGGTTAATTTTTGTGTTAATGATTATTTTTTGTTGTTTTATGATGTAATGTTATTTATTAAACCATTTTCCTAAGAAAAATGTTTTTTTATTTATTTAATTTATACCTAGTATTTACCATAATACCTAGCTGTAATTAGATAGATACTTACTATATAATGTAAAAAAATATTTATTTAGGTATAATATTGAGTTATTGACCCCCCAGGCATGAATCCTGGATACGCCACTGGTTCAAATGTCCGAAACAGAAAAAAATAAGTGTGGCCTATCATTGTACTCCGGGAGACCGAGTTCTTTCAAAACCTGAAATAAAAAATGCAGGTCCGTATTTAAAAAAATAAGTTGGCCTCTGTATCTCACAAATTATCAGCTAATTTGAAAATCTAAAAATACCATCAGATAGCTCTAATAAAGTGTCTAATGAATGTGCAATGAGTTTTTTGATTTTCTAAAAAGTAACGACAGGAAAAAATAAAATTGATTTTCAAAAAAAAACATTTTTTCCAAAAACTCAGCAATCCTTGTAATTTTTAAAACTTTTTTATGGCATCTTGGTGAACATCCTAAAACGCAATTTTGCCCCAATTTAACCATGTTCGTATCTATTCGTAACCACCGTAATAACAAGGCCGGACAGCTTATTCGTGACGTCATCAACTGGAGGCCTAAACTTTGATTGCATTTAATACACTTTATACGTATATAATGGATATAAACTTTAATTGCACCGAATTTTTAATAAATAATAATTAAACATAAAATTTAAAAAACATCAGATTGATATCCCATCTCACATTATCCATCTGTTAAGCTGTAAGTGTGTCTAAGTTTCTTTTATTTCCTTTTCCAAGTCTATCATTTTTTTACAACAGTAGTTTTTCAGACGTGTATTTCTAATAGAATTTATGACAATTTTTACAATAATTTAGGATTATAAATAGTACATTGCGGAACTTTTAATAATGGTGTTATTACTTTTAATATAATCCAAAGATATTTTTGATAAAAATATTTTTTTAAGGTGAATTTTGAGAAACTCCTCATGGCTTTGCAAAAACTTTGTTAAAAATTATATATTCAAATAAAACTCTCTTTGGAAACCCAAGACTGCCTTTACTAAGGTTTTTTATAAGTGAATTTTGTTCAATATCAGTGTTGTCTGAATATGTTAAATTATTCTTACATGTTTACATTTTTGCATTTAATTTCCTTTAAAACAATATAACAGCAATATCCTTCTAAATAAGCAATAACAGGCCTTTCTTCCTTCACACTTTCGATATCTTGTTCAGAAATAGTAATGTCGATGTTAAACCAATCTGATTCAATATGGTACTTGTATTGCGTGGTATTTGTTTAGACAAGGTATTGTCATCATAAAATCATAAAAAGTATCGATTTTTATAGAACCAAAACAAGTAGATTTTAGAGACATAATAATGACTGAATCCTAAGTTTCTTTTTGCCTTCATATAAATGTCGAACACAAATACTGTACTGACTCCCAGCTACTTTTTCTGAATAGAACTTTAAATACAACTTTTGCACCCTTCTATTATCGATTATAATTACCACGTCCACACACCTACCGATAAATCGATGACTGTCAACTGCGGCAATACCACTCCGCTACGACAGGCGCCGCCGCGTCGCCCCTGAGTAGGGGGCGTAAAATATCGATGAAATACATAATATATACCTACTATTAGCGATGGGAACTATCGAATGAATTAGACTATCGAATGGTTACTGAATGAATGATTTCAACTATCGAATGGTTTTATTCGAATAAAATCATTCATTCATTTGTATACTAAAGCATATGTGACAACCTCGCCGTGCGACTAAATGGTTATCGTTACGCCACGAGCCACGACTATCGAATGCTTTTGATAAATGAAATTTAGTATTCGTTTGATTTTTGTGTGCGTCAGTGCATTATTAGTTCTTCCAAATTTTTATAACTTCGCCTTGTAAATACTATGCTATTTTTGCGTTTATTAAAATATTTAAAATACTAAAATAGTAGTTTTTTTAATTCACGAAGTGGTCAAAATTTTTCGAAAATTTGTGTCATTTTCTGTAGTCCGATCTTTCAATTATTTAATTTTATATGGTATATGGTCTATTTTTTAATGGGAAATTTTGAGAAGTAGCAATTTTTAAGAGAGATGAGATGAACTTACAATTAGTTTTAAAAATACATATTTGTATTTTAGATGTTTTAATAATATCAATTAGTTGAACTTAATAATCATATTTAAGTAATGTGGTTAAGTAAATGGTTATCGAACTCAAATTTTGGGGTGAGAAAATTAAATTGAAAGTTTTACACGTGCCAATTTAAAAAAAAGTTAACAATGTTTGTATTTTGTTTATGCTAATTCTCTTACATGTAGTTTTTTGCGAAGAAATATTTTATTTATTTTTTAAAGTAAATGCCAGTAAAAGTAAATATTATTTTTAAATAGTAATATAAAGTAATAAAAAGTAATATAAATAATTTTGATTTCTAATTTTTTATTTATATTTTCCTTCCATTACACTGCATGCTAAGAAAATTAATAAATGTTTATATTTCATGATTTTAAAATTTGTTGTTAATATAACAAATTAGTTCTGAAATTATTATTATTTAATAAACCAACGTTGCCACATTTAGAGACTATATTATTTTTAAATAGGATCTAATATAAATACTTTTGACTTCTATTTGTTGTTTATATTTTGCTACTACTTAAAAAAAATGTTTATAATATTAAATGATTTTAAAATTTGTTGTTAATAGGTATAACAAATTATTACTGTTATTATTATTTATTAAACCAGTCTTTGCTTAAAAACATTAAAAATCATTTTCCTACATCCAAAATAAAAAGTATTATTGCAGTGTAACAACAGAATATTAATAAAGAAATGCAAAACATATAGACATACTATCCCTAACTAACTAATGCTAAAGAATAATATTCTTTGCTTATTCCAACTAATACGAATATATGGCCAAACCAAACAGCGCCCTTCATAATGTATTTTCTGTGTAAATACTAGCACCTCAATAAAAAAAAATAATGTGTCCTTATCTTTATTTGACTCCGCAAAAAATCAAAGATGCCGGCTTCTTTCATAGCATTGCCAACGACCACTGTCGGGTTTCTAGGAAAGAAACCTACGTCGCCGGACGACAACTAAAATCCAGTTTATATTTTATTCAACTCGATTCTGACGAATAAATGAATTTGATAAATGAATGAATTTTATAAATGAATGGTTTTTGCTGCCGAATTACTAGAATACAATATTTCAAGGCAGATGACGCATCTATCCGATAATTTTTATTCGAATAGTTTTCGACGAATATTTTCTTACTAGCTATCGAATTATTCGAATGAATTGCAACTATCGAATGTTTCGATAGTATTCATTCGATAGTTCCCACTACTACCTACTATAAAAAATATCTATTTTTTATTGTTTTTTCACATATTATACACTATTGTGAACTTAAAATATTCCTTTATTAAATTTGATTGACAAAAAGTGAGAGATACACATTTATTGACTGGTATGATTTTTTCCGTATTCTATTAAAATTATTTTTATATACTATAATACTTTTAAAAACTCGGAAAAAGACATTTTAAAACTTCGAAATATATCTGCTGAGTGAAAAAAGATCCACAATTTGAACTTTTATCGGGTAATTATGAACGCTGCTAAATAGAGTTAGGCCTCCAGTTGGTGACGTCACGAGATTTTTACGTCACAGCTGTCCGGCCTTGTTATTACGGTGGTTACGATCTATTACGTTTACCGAGATACCAATGCTCGTACATCGAATTTTGCTCACTCTGTATAGTATATAAACAGAAAAAAAGATGAGAATAATATCAAACAGTTTATTTAAGTAACATTTGATGGCCATTAAATAATACCAATACGTCTAATACTAATATATTTCTTTTTTGTATGAAGAAAATCTTAAAACTATCCCCCAACCAAATCAGCGGTACCAATATGGGAAACGTGGTAACTATACTTACTAAAGATGTGAGGGCGCTATTGGGTAGCATGTGGCCATTAAGCGATTTATTTATCGGAAGTTTTCAAATTATAGTTTCATGTATTTTTCTGTATGTGAGAATGGGAAACGTATCATTAATAGGTGTAGCTGTTTTATTAGTTACCATTACAATTCAAGGTAAGTTAATCGTTAATTACGTGAGAAAAGATTCCTCACGTAAAAATAAGATTTATTTTTCATATCAACATAGGTTTGAATCTGCTTTGTTTTTTATCTAGAGGGTGTTACAGTCTTAATAATCTTTCGATTTATTATAATTTTCTTCCAAGTACTTTTAGTGATTTGAATGAAATTTTGGGGGTAAAAGTTACTATAAGTGCAACATATTTCAATGCTAAAAAAGTGTCGATAAATTCATCAGAGACGTGCATATGTGTTATCACTGGAATATTTAAAATAACATGTGCGCCATTGACTTTTTTCTTTTCATATCAGAATTGTGTAGGATGCCAATTAAAAGTAATTCTCTCGATATTTTGTCGAATTCGGCCTCCTTGATGAGATAAACGCAATTTTATTGACAATTAATAAAATTAAAATAAAAATAAAATTAATAAATTATATATTTTACCTAATTTATTATTAAATATTATTAATATTAGTTATTATTACTATTAGTCCAACCTAGAGCAATTTCAAGTAAAAAAATAATGGTATTTAAGTTAATTACAAAAAACCTAATTTTAAAATGTTTTAATCACAATGTCATGATCCGTTTGTGTCTGGGAAGGAGTCATAGTTTCATAGTTGTCGATTTTCTAAAGAAATCAGTACATGTATATTATTTCGTATATTTCTCATTTTATTGATTTTATGGAAAGCACTGTTCATTAAAATGTTGTATCCTATGTTAGAGGGCTTGTTTCTCTCTACAATTTCCTGTCTCACAATGTACCCTTTGTGTCCGGGAAGGGTTCATAGTTTCATAGTTGTCGATTTTCGAAAGAAATCAGTACATGTATATTATTTCGTATATTTTTCATTTTATTGGTTTTATGGAAAGCACTGTTCATTAAAATGTTGTATCCTATATTATAGGACTTGTTTCTCTCTACAATTTCCTGTCTCACAACGTACCGTTTGTGTCGGGGAAGGGATCATAGTTTCATAGTTGTCGATTTTCGAAAGAAATAAGTACATTTATATGATTTCGTATATTTTTCATTTTATTGATTTTATGGAAAGCACTGTTCATTAAAATGTTGTATCCTATGTTATAGGGCTAGTTTCTCTCTACAAGTTTCTGTCTCAGAATGTATCGTTTGTGTCGGGGAAGGGATCATAGTTTCATAGTTGTCGATTTTCGAAAGAAATCAGTACATGTATATTATTTCGTATATTTTTCATTTTATTGGTTTTATGGAAAGCACTGTTCTTTAAAATGTTATATTCTATGTTATAGGGCTGGTTTCTCTCTACAATTTCCTGTCTCACATTGTACCGTTTGTGTCAGGGAAGGGATCATAGTTTCATAGTTGTCGATTTTCGAAAGATATCATGTATATTATTTCGTATATTTTTCATTTTATTGATTTTATGGAAAGCATTGTTCATTAAAATGTTGTATACTATGTTATAGGGCTTGTTTCTCTCTACAATTTCCTATCTCACAATGTACCGTTTGTGTCGGGGAAAGGATCATAGTTTCATAGTTGTCGATTTTCGAAAGAAATCAGTACATGTATATTATTTCGTATATTTTTCATTTTATTGATTTTATGGATAGCACTGTTCATTAAAATGTTGTATCCTATGTTATAGGGCTTGTTTCTCTCTACAATTTCCTATCTCACAATGTACCGTTTGTGTCGGGGAAGGGATCTTAGTTTCATAGTTGTCGATTTTCGAAAGAAATCTGTACATATATATTATTTCGTATATTTTTCATTTTATTGGTTTTATGGAAAGCACTGTTCATTAAAATGTTGTATCCTATATTATAGGACTTGTTTCTCTCTACAGTTTCCTGTCTCACAATGTACCGTTTGTGTCGGGGAAGGGATCATAGTTTCATAGTTGTCGATTTTCGAAAGAAATAAGTACATTTATATTATTGCGTATATTTTTCATTTTATTGATTTTATGGAAAGCACTGTTCATTGAAATGTTGTATCCTATGTTACAGGGCTGGTTTCTCTCTACAATTTCCTGTCTCAGAATGTACCGTTTGTGTCGGGGAAGGGATCATAGTTTCATAGTTGTCGATTTTCGAAAGAAATCAGTACATGTATATTATTTCGTATATTTTTCATTTTATTGATTTTATGGAAAGCACTGTTCTTTAAAATGTTGTATCCTATGTTATAGGGCTGGTTTCTCTCTACAATTTCCTGTCTCACATTGTACCGTTTGTGTCAGGGAAGGGATCATAGTTTCGATTGTTGATCAAAGTTGTCGATTTTCGAAAGAAATCAGTACGTGTACAGGGACATCATTTTAAGTGTCTCACTCGATTTATAATTTTCCTGTTTCGTATTTTAAGATAGTAGAAATATTTTCTAATATAACTTTTCTCTACATCAACATTTTTTAAAACGTCAATCTTGACATTTTCTTTAACATCCTGTAACTCTAAAACTATGGATTTCCACACCCATGTTTATAAGAACTTTTTTTTCGTTTTTTCTATGAGAAATCAAAATTTATTTAAAACTCTCGCATGTTAATGATATTAAATTTTTTTAAAGGTTGCTATTATTAGGCAAATTAATACAATTGCGTTTATCTCATCAAGGAAGCGGAAATCGACAAAATATCAAGAGACAACTTTTAATCGGCATTAAACTGTTTACACTATTTCAAGAAAAACGATTTGCATTCACATTAAACTGGTTGAAAAATAATTACTGATATGTCGACAATAATAATTATAGAAAAATAGAATAGAATTCAATTATAGAGAATAACATTTAATTACAAAACAATTGCTTTTAGTTTTAGTTGCTAAAGCTGTGATGAAAATGCGTTTAAAAGTAGGCAAGATGGCGGATAAACGGTTGGAACTAACAAGAGAAGCGTTGTCTTCTTTAAAGGTGATCAAAATGTATACTTGGGAAAACTTTTTCCACAACAGAATATGCACGGCAAGACTGTAAGTATTTAAGAGCTTAGATCTTTAGAAGTCTTCCAAAACGTGGCTAAAACCCTTTATTTCAATTTTTATTTAAGTGTTTACTAGAAAGTTGAAATTTTACAAAGTTGACATATACAGGATGTCCCAGAAATAAGTGCAAATATTTTAACTGGTAGTATAGTTCAACCCCAGAAACACGCCTATGAGGTTTTTTGCGAAAAAAAAATGTTGAAAATTTAAAATTTTTCTTGACATTTTCCGGGAAATTTGAAAAAACTTTTTAGTGCCACTTGTTTATTCACCTGATTTCTCTACGGTGTATATAAACCTTGCAGTGTTGCAACCTCCTATGTTATCCACATTCTACATAGTTCTACATTTATAAATTCATAGATAAATTTCTACTCAAAAAATTAGGAATGTTAAATTTAATCTTTTATCAATGCTCATTATTAATAATTATAGAAAAAAAAACATTAATTATTTTAGTATTTACCCTTTCAATGAAAACTTAACAAAAATCACCGAAAATTAACTAAAACATTACGTTTATGACGTTTACAAAAATCTTTGTTATGCTGCAAAATAACTTTATTTTGGAATAAATTTAATAAAATGATTCATCATATTATTCACAATCAGGTCACAAAAAAGAAATTCTTAAAATGTTTATCGTAATTTAGAATTTAATATATCGAAAACAGCCCAACGAATAATCGATTCATTTTTGTTTTGTTTGTTTTCTTTCATGTTTCTCTGTTTTATTTGAACCACTGATTTATAAAACACCTTGAAAAGCGCACATTACTTTGAATACCTTTCTGAATGATTAAATGTTGAGAATTATTGTCTCTTACCGCCACTTTACGAACTACATTCAATCTAAGAAAATACATGTTTCACTCGACAATTTTAAATACGTATTTTGTTTTTTCGCTATTTTTTCGATATATTTCGACAATTCCATCTACAGCCCAACCGTCGGCCAAAAGTGCCGCGTGTCAACTCTTTGAGCTTTGAGTCGCCGCGCCGTCGTGGCGGGCTTGCGTCATACGACGATATTAAGTAACGTTGCCGTAGTTACAACACTTTCAAATTCAAGACATTAGAAGCAATTAAATTCGTATTAAATTTTAAAAATAAAACAGAGAAACATGAAAGGAAACAAACAAAACAAAAATGAATTGATTATTCGTCGGGCTGTTTTCGATATATTGAATTCTGAATTACAATAAACATTTTAGAAATTTCTCTTTTGTGACCTTATTAATAATCGATACATTTGTGTTTTGTTTGTTTCCTTTCATGTTTTTCTGTTTTATTTTGAATATTTAATAAGAATTTGATTGCTTCGAGTGTCTTGAATTTGAAATTGTTGAAACTACGGCAACGTTGCTTAACATCGTCGTATGACGCAAGTCCGCCACGACGGCGCGGCGCGGCGCGGCGCCTCGAAGCTCAAAGAGTTGACAGGCGGCACTCTTGGCCGACGGTTGGGCTGTCGATGGAATTGTCGAAATACATCGAAAAAATAGCGAATAAACAAAATACGTATTTAAAATTGTTGAGTGAAACATGTATTTTCTTAGATCGAATGTAGTTCGTAAAGTGGCGGTAAGAGACAATAATTCTCAACATTTATTCATTCAGAAAGGTATTCAAAGTAATGTGCGCTTTTCAAGGTGTTTTGTAAATCAGTGGTTCAAATTGTGATGAAGCCTATATGAAAATAATGTGTTAAAAATAGGGACTGTTATTTTAGCAGTTATTATAATAGCATGTACAAGTAAACATGTCGCAACACAGTGAAGTGTATTTTAGTTAAGCGTGTATCGAAAAAGAGAATTGTCACAGTTACATCGATAACTTTTAAACATTTAACTTTTAATTTATTTTATGTAATAATATCACAATCTTAAAAATATAATGCATTTTTGCAAACTCCTCAGGTGTTGTGATTTTATGACTTACTTTTAAACATATACTTTCTTGTTCATAGGGCAACACAGTGCGTCGAATTACCTGAAATCCGGGCTTGATCCAGGTAATTGGATGAAGTTGGCGATATCTGCCGGCGCGCGGCGGTTCTCAAAATGTTGCGATTATTTTTTTAAATTTTCAAAGTTAAATAACTCGGTTATTTTCAATTTATTTTAAAAATGGTAAAGAAAAAATATGGTTCTATTGACAAGATCTACCACCCCTTAAAATATTTGCACTCATTTCTGGGACACCCTGTATATAATACATATAATAGTCTGGTCTGGTGCAATGTTGAAGAGTAACCAATTCTATAGTGTCGGTTACATTTTACTACCACTAGAAAAAAATATATTTTTAAAGAATAGTTTTAATGTCTCAAAAATCTTGAAAATCAGAAAATCCAGATAATAATATGGCAATCATGTACACTGAAATTGTGTAGATTTCTGTTAACAGCCTGACCTTAAAAATAAAAAAAAATAATAAATCGAAAAAAAAATGTGGGACAATATTTTTACATTACAAAAAATGATTTTAAATGTAATGAATACTATATCGCAAAATTATAAATTGATATATTAAAAATTATCTTAGGTCGGAAATGGGTGCAACGTTGAAAGCATGGTACTATTTGATGATTGTATTAAATATTGGTTCTTTAGTTTCTAAAATGTCATTTCCAATTCTGATAATGTGTTACATCCGATTTGGTTATACGATAAATACGGAATTTCTATTTTATATTATGGGTTTATATAAGGTAAGTAGGTATAAAGACTAAGTGATTCTAAGAACTAAGATTAAAACAATATGCTTATTATACAGGGTGTTTCAAAAAAAAGTGCCATCTCTCGTGGGGAGATTTCTCACGTAAAAATAAGATTTATTTTTCATATCAACATAGGTCCGATTCTGCTTTGTTACGTAGCTACAGGGTGTTAAAGTCTTAATATTTTTTTCCATTTATTATAATTTTCCTGGAAGTCCTTTTAGCGTTTCCAATGAAATTTTGAGGGTAAAAGTTACTATAAATGCGACATATTTTAATGCTAAAAGTGTCGACATATTCACCATTGACTTTTTTTCTCTTGTTAGCAAAATAGCGTAAGCAGTTTAATGCCGATTAAAAGTTGTGTCTTGATTTTTTGTCGATTTCGGACTCCTTCATGAGACAATCGTCATTTTATTAATTTGCCTTGATTCAAGTCAAATAGCAACTTTTAATATCATTAACTTGCGAAAATAAGTACTTTAAATAAGTACTCATTGATTCCTCATCAAAAAATATGAAAAAAAGTTCTTCTTATAAACATAGGTATGGAAATGCATAGTTTTAGAGTTACAGGATGTTAAAAGTTTCTAAAATTAGTTTTTTTGTAATTATCTTAAATAACATTATTTTTTTATTTGAAATTGCTGTAGGTTGGACCTACACCCTGTGCAATAATTTCGTGTGTAAATTTTCCTAAAATATAATTTTACGGTAAGAACCATGTCTCGTGAGCATTTTGTTTTTTGGATCACGTCAATACATGCTTTTTTTTCTATAGGAGATAGACGAAAACTAATATCGGTGTCTGGAGCTCAATTTTCATGAAAAATATGATGGTGAAAACCGCACATCAATATCTGTTACCGTTTCGGAGTTACGGGGTGTTTTTCAAAAATGTGCATTATTAACAAATCGCTGTAACTTTTTTGCTATGAAAAATTTTGTATTTCTATGAAAACATTTCTAAAGCACCTTTTTACGTAGAATTTAATGGTTTAAGTATAATTTTTTTAAAATTAATAATTTAAGGGTTATCAACAGAAAAATTTGATTTTTTATTTGGGACACTCTCTATATTTTTAATTAACTGAAAAGAATTTAAAATTACCTTTCCAAAAATATGACACACCTGATATTTTGTTATAATCCCCTTCGAAATACAGAATTTTTAAAAGTTCGCCACTTTTAACTAGTAGGCTTTGGATCCCTTATTGATGATATGCCCTCTTAATGGAACTGGAAAACATATTTTTCCAGCAAGACGACGCACCGCCCCTGAACGCTGAAGTTATCAGCAAATTTTTGCAGCCAATTTCAAGAATAATTGGATAGCTAACCAAGATCCCAGCCGTTGGCCGTCGAGGACGCCTGACTTAGTGCCCATGGATCTAATCCTATGGATATATTTGCGGAAGAATAAAGGTTTCTTATTCTTCCTTATAATCTAGACAAGAATTAAAAATACTTAATAAGTTAATGAATTCCGCGAGAAATGTTCAAAAACTGCCCCGTCTGTCCATAACAGAAGACGGTCGATATGTCGAACACCTGTAGCAACATCTCATGTCTTGGTTTGCTATATTTATTTTTATTGGTATTAGATATAGTTTAAAAGTGTTGATGTTGGTTAAATATATTTTAAATTGCACAATTTAAAATTCTGCATCTCTCATAGCAAATATTATTTTCCTTTTAATTGATGCTCACAGCTAGAATTTTTTTGCATTGCAGCCGGTGCCGTTCATGCCTACTAATTTAAAGCGGGCGAATTTTTATATACTCTATATCTCGAAGAGGAATCGAGCAAAATATCAAGAGTGTTATATTTTTGGAAAGGTAATTTTAAATTCTTTTCAATACATTAAAATATACAGGGTGTCCCATATAAAAAATAAAATTTTCTGTTGATAATTTTTAAATTCTTAATTTAAAAAAAAACTATACTTAAACCATTATTCTACGTAAAAAGGTGCTTTGGAAATGTTTTCATAAAAATACAAAATTTTCCATGGCAAAAAAGTTAGAGCGATTTGTTAAAAATGCATATTTTTGAAAAACACCCCGTAACTCCGAAACGATAACAGATATCGATATGCGGTTTTCACCATCATGTTTTTGACAAAAATTGAGCTCCAGACACCGATATTAGTTTTTGTCTATCTCCTATAGAAAAGGTAATTTCCATTTAAAAGCGTCGAATTTGACCCACCCTGTACAATCTACAGTCACATTACTAGATTATTAAGTCTTTAACATCCTGTAGCTACGAAACAAAGCAAAATCAGACTTATGTTGATATGACAAATAAATCTTATTTTTACGTGAAGAATCTCCCCACGAGAGATGGCACATGTTTTTTGAAACACCCTGTATAATAAATTAAAAAAAAAAACATTTTTGATTATTAGGAATTTTTATATATTTTCATTTTTCATTTATATTTTAATAATATGAAATTACTTGCTAAATCCATATTTTAGATAGGCTTGGTCTAAAATTCTGAATTTTTGCATCAATACAGACATGCTCTTTTCATCCATATATTTTTTATTGCTATTTTACGCAAAGGCCATAGCCTAAACAATTTTCCTGAGACACTTTAAAAACTACTCTGATCTAAATTTTCTACTTACTTTATTATTGTAGGATATCGGCCATATCGTTGGAGGAATCATACCAAATTGTTCATGTTCAAGTGCTGAGTTTTTTGCGTCAGTTAAAAGAATAGAAAACCTTCTTAATGCCGATGAGCTTGATAAAGGACAGCAGAATCAAACAGAAACACCATATCTAACAAAATTTAAAAATAAGGTTAAGTATTATAATATTAAGTTTATACCTATACCTAATACCAAAGGAGTCTTAAATAAGTACCTACAATTAAATAAATTAATTACATTTTCAGGGCTTGTAGATCTCGATAAAAGAATCATATTTTCTCTTTACCGTTATTCAAATAAGTCCTCTCTCTTAAATTTTGAGAACCACTGGATCTTTTCTGTTTTTTTTTCTTGCAAATTTAATCCACTCCCTATGTTGCCATATTATCAAGATATTATGTTTTTTAACTGATTTTTTTTAAATCCCAATTTTCAATTTTCTTTCGCGAAAAAAACTTCATAGACGCGTTTCTGAAGTTGAAATATACTACCTGTAAAAATATTTGCACTTATTTAAAACTCACCCTGTATAGACAATATATGCCTATCTAGACTAATATACATATAAAATCCTTAAGTGACTGACATACTGATTAATCACGATCCTGCACAAACCACTCAACGTAAGAAGCTCAATTTTGGCATACAGGTTGAGTCTAGGGTGTAGAGGTTCGATAAGAAGGGATTTTTCGAAATCCCAGTTCCAAGAGGGTGAAACCACAGTTTAAAGAATATAAATATATCAGTTGACCCACTCTTCGCCCGTATCAAAATTCCTCCCGCCGCTCCCCGCCTGTTTTGTAGACTTGGGTCAGTCTACATCCGTTGCTCGACGTGTACACAGCGTTCTAAGTTTATTTTAGTTTTGTTTTCGGTCCGACGCATAGGGTGAACCAAAAATAGTGTTTTAGTTGTTTTGTTCGAATTGCGAATAAAATGTCTACTAAAAATATATGTGCAGTGGATGATTGTGAAAGTAGAATGACAGACAATATATCGTTCTTTAGGTGCCCAAAAGATAAAGGAAGGTATGTGTTTATATAGCATAGGATATTAAGTATATAGTAATTAAAGTATTAAACATATTAAGTATATTATAATTATGGAGACCTATGAATAAATTGTTTTAAAAATATACATATAAGTTAAGAAAACAATTTACTCGAAATATTCACAAAATATTTACTTTTAACAATTCGTTTATTATTTTAGTAGATATTTTAGAGTAGTAGTAGATACTTTACTATTATGTTTTAGATTTTGCAGTACTTACCGGTTTGCAAAGTGCATATTAAATTATTTTTTAAGATATTTGCATTTTTTTAAATAGCATGTTTTACTTTTTAGATGTAGGTATGTATTTAACTTTAACTACCTACCTGGAAAGTCCAAATTTTATCGTCAGGTAATAAAAATACGTGCATACAACTTGTTCTGTTATTGACAAGTTTTTTAGAGTTTTTATTAAATTTTATGTAACAGTAAATATAACAATTGACGAGCACATGGGAAAAACGATGAGTATCCAGAAATGATAAATGTTCAGGAAACCGTTTTTTTTTAATTCAAATTAAGCATGGACTTTTATATCCGAGTTTATATCGTTTTTCCCATTTTTAAATGCCTGTTTCTATGTGGCCGTTATCGATATTCCCGTTTATTTAGGTACCAAAAGGTGCAGCCCCCCACCCTTTTTGGTACTTTCATTATTTTTCCCGTGTGCTCTTCAATTAGTAGTAAATACTGTAATAAATTGTGTTTGCGTATTTCTTAAGTTGTAGCATGTTTTGCTTTTTAGCTGTTTGCATTTAACTTGAATTATCTACCTTTTTATCAAAAGGTATGCTATAATTTAAGAAATATGCAAATTATTATTATATAACTGGTATGTATTCTGGTATGTATTCCAACTGGTATGTATTCTTTAAACTGTGGTGGAAACCACCCCTCAAATTATATATAATTTGAGGGGTGGTATATTTTTTATTTTTTATTTAATTTTTAATTTTTTTTATTTAAAAAACGGTCAAGTTTCCGAAAAAACGCTTAAACTATATATACGTATATTTTATTTTGTTTTTTTATAAATTTATACAGGGTGTTTCATAAAATATGTCCATTGAGTAATCACGATTCTGCTTAAACTGCTTGACGTTTAAAGCTGATTTTTGGCAAATGGATTGACTGTGGGGTGTAGAGGTTCGATAAGGAGGGGTTTCTCGAATCTCAAATTCCAAGAGGGTGAAAACGCCCCTCAAATATTAAAATATTTTTTATTTAAAAAACGGTCAAGTTTCCGAAAAAACGCTTAAACTAAATATACGTATATTTTATTTTGTTTTTTTATAAATTTATACAGGGTGTTTCATAAAATATGACCATTGAGTAATCACGATTCTGCTTAAACTGCTTGACGTTTAAAGCTGATTTTTGGCAAATGGATTGACTGTGGGGTGTAGAGGTTCGATAAGGAGGGGTTTCTCGAATCTCAAATTCCAAGAGGGTGAAAACGCCCCTCAAATATTACAATATTTTTTATTTAAAAAACGGTCAAGTTTCCGAAAAAACGCTTAAACTATATATACGTATATTTTATTTTGTTTTTTTATAAATTTATACAGGGTGTTTCATAAAATATGACCATTGAGTAATCGCGATTCTGCTTAAACTGCTTGACGTTTAAAGCTGATTTTTGGCAAATGGATTGACTGTGGGGTGTAGAGGTTCGATAAGGAGGGGTTTCTCGAATCTCAAATTCCAAGAGGGTGAAAACGCCCCTCAAATATTACAATATTTTTTATTTAAAAAAGGGTCAAGTTTCCGAAAAAACGCTTAAACTATATATACGTATATTTTATTTTGTTTTTTTATAAATTTATACAGGGTGTTTCATAAAATATGACCATTGAGTAATCACGATTCTGCTTAAACTGCTTGACGTTTAAAGCTGATTTTTGGCAAATGGATTGACTGTGGGGTGTAGAGGTTCGATAAGTAGGGGTTTCTCGAATCTCAAATTCCAAGAGGGTGAAAACGCCCCTCAAATATTACAATATTTGTTATTTAAAAAAAAGTTAGTCTTTCGGGAAAACGCTTGGACAAGCATAATTTATTTGGTTTTTTTACATATTTTTGAAATTTTTTGAAAATCATACAGGGTGTTCCAAAAAGTTGGGTAATTTCTTAACCACGATTCTGCTTAAACTGCTTGATGTAAAAAGCTTATTTTTGGCAAACGGATTTTTCGAAAGTCAAATTCCAACGAGATGAAACTACCCCTCAAATATTACCAAGTTATATAATAATATCGCCATATTGTTTTTTCTCATGCTGACATAAATGTGAGAAAATTTTATCCAGTTTGTATGTTAATGGAAATTCTTGCTCTGCTTTATCATCACCATTACAAATGATTAATTCGACGCGAACGAAGTCGCTGGTACACGCTAGTAATGATATAAAAGTATTTGGTGGAACACTGAGGTTTTTATTTTAAAACAATAAAACGAAGTTTTGGCGTTTTTAAACAAATTCAAACGTTGCAAATAATACAAAAATATTTAAAACTAACACCTTCTGGGTTATGAATTATACAGGGAGGTCCAAACTTTATTGTGGAAACTTTGGCAGCATATCCTGCAGACAAAAATAAGTAAAAAAGTTCGTATAAATGTATGTCCTAAAATACTTAGTTTTGGAGATACAGGGTGTAGAATTTTCATTTTTATTTCGATTTTTCCAAATAATTTATGAAGTAACGTCAATATTTGGATGAAAATTGGTGAGTAATTTAGGACATACACCTATACGAACTTTTTTACTTATTTTTATCTGCAGAATATGCTGCCGAAGTTTCCCGAATTCCCGTGGCCCGAATTCCCGAATTCGGTCCACCCTGTATATCGAGAAACTATGGTTACAATCGTTGAATTTGACACTTTATGTCAGTTTAATAACAATATATTTTCCTACTTGTATTTAGATTGAATTTCGGATTGGAATGCTCGGCCTGGCTCGACTTGCCGCTAAAACTTATGACAATTGTTAGAATCGTGGTTAAGAAATTATCCAACTTTTTGAAACACCCTGTATGATTTTTTTAAAAATTTCAAAATATGTAAAAAAACAAAATAAATTATGCTTGTCCAAGCGTTTTCCCGAACGACTAACCGTTTTCTAAATAACAAATATTGTAATATTTGATGGGAGTTTTCACCCTCTTGGAATTTGAGATTCGAGAAACCCCTCCTTATCGAACCTCTACACCCCACAGTCAATCCGTTAGCCAAAAATCAGCTTTAAACTTCAAGCAGTTTAAGCAGAATCGTGATTACTCAATGGTCATATTTTATGAAACACCCTGTATAAATTTTTAAAAAATTTAAAATATGTAAAACAACAAAATAAAATATACGTGTTTAAGAGTTTTTCCGAAAAACTCACCGGTTTTTAAATAAAAAATATTTTAATATTTGAGGGATAGTTTCACCCCTTAAGAATTCGAGTTTCGAAAAATCCCTTCTTATCGAACCTCTACACCCTAAAGTCAATCTGTTTTCCAAAAATCAGCTTTTTACGTCAAGCGCTTTAAGCAGGATCGTGATTAATCAATGCCCAGATTTTTCGAAACACCCTGTATACATTTTTAAAAAATCTTAAAATATGTAAAAAAACAAAATAAAATATACGTGTTTAAGCGTTTTTTCGGAAACTTGAACGTTTTTTAAATAAAAAATGTTGTAATATTTGAGGGGTGATTTCACCCTCTTGGAGCTGGAATTTCGAAAAATCCCTTCTCATCGAACCTCTAAACCCTAGAATCAACCTGTATGCCAAAATTGAGCTTCTTACGTTGAGTGGTTTGAGCAGGATCGTGATTAATCAGTATGTCAGTCACTTAAGGATTTTATATATTAGTATAGATTTCAAAATTTTAACTGCATTCATTAAAAAAAATACCGAAAAGTGTTTAAAGCATCCATTTTCAAAGTAATTATTGCTATCTTGTGAGTTTAATTTAAATTTTATTTAGTTTAACCCGTGATAATTGTGAAAAAGTGGCATTAAAAACTTAAAAAGCTCTGTGAATAACTGTGAACTGCAAAAACCATCGTGGATCGTGGCATAACGTCGGTTTCCAATGTTTTATACGGTATTTAATACAGGTCCTTGCATAAAATAAGTTTCTTCTTTGCAACACATTGTATTTTATTTAAAAAATTAAAAGAAAATAATAATAAATTTGAATAAATGACTTTGGCGACATAATTCCGGAAAAAGCCGAACCGCTCCGAAATTATCAAAAGCTTTGTGGAGAGCGACCGTTGTAAGAATAGCGCCAAATAGTATTTACATTGTCCTTAAGGGCACTTTCCAATCTAAACTTGTTTCTTTTATCTATGTTCGTACTTTTGTGACTTACTTAGGCGTAAAAGCGCATTACTTTTATGCCTAGGCGTTAAAATTATTTTTTTATATCCGTCATTCACGTCGCACACAAAAACATTTTTAATTATTACATTTAATACATATAAATTTCTTTATGAAAAAATAATAATTATAACTTAATCTCACATTCAATCCATTAATAATAACAATAAAGAGCAAAAATCAATAAAAATATAAAATCAATATGTCTGCAATCCACAACAGTTACAAATATACACGACTGTTGTTTAATCTTTAGAAACAAAAAAAAAATATCGGCTTGCGTATAACAGTTTGTGAGAGATCGTTGTTGATAGTATGTTATTTCCTCGGTACTGTTTTAGAACAGCTGTTATGAGCTTGGTAGAATCTCGGAGCGCGGTTATCCCGACATTACATCGCAGACGCTTGATGAAAATTGTTATTTTTTTTAAATAACAGCGGTTGTGAACTGTTATTGATAAATAACAGACTGTTAAATAGCAACCCGTCTCTAGACCGTTTAAACCGAAACATAGCATCCACTTAATTTAATGCCTGTACCAAAATGTATTTTTTCTTCTTTCAGAGTATACCAACTCAGATTGAACTAAAAAATGTATCTGCCAAAATAGGAAAAGAAAAGATATTGAAAGATGTTACATTAAATATAACCGAACCTGGACTGTATATTGTAATAGGACCTCTTGGTTCGGGAAAATCTACGCTGTTAAAAGTTCTTTTACAAGACATTACGGAAATATATGGTTCCATTGATGTAAAAGGAAGAATTTCTTTCGCCTCGCAGGAACCATGGCTGTTTCCAGCTACGATAAAGAGGAACATTATTTTTGGAGAGGATTTTGACAGGACAAAGTACAACGAGGTTATTGAAGTTTGTTGTTTGAAACATGATTTTCAAACTCTGGTTGATATGGACAACACAGTTGTAACTGGTATGAATCGATTTGATAAAGTTTAGTTTACATCAGTAATAGTTTCAAAATAATATTTCGGTCGGATTTCTTGGTATCTGTTTAGGTTTAAATATTTCATATAACAAGGACTAACAGGGTGTCCCAGGCTGAGCGTGCTTTAGATGTTTCTACTACAATATCTAGATCGGATATTTTTTGCGCGTCATTGTTTTACAACCAGATCTGTCGATTAAAAATATTTTCAATCTGGCGGCACTTTCGGAAATACCGGAAGTTGACGGCAACTTTCTTATTTTAAACGGGCATCCCTATTTTTTATTACATACTTAAATTCTCTGTAAAATTTTATGAATTTTGATATTAAACACTCTATATCTAACATTAACCGTTTTTGAGAAAAAAAAATATATTTAAAATTTTTGGACGAAAAAAACTGCCTGTCAAAAATATGTGTATGTAACGTCAAATTTAGTGATTACCACAGCCACTGTACCATAATGAAAAGACATTGTGGTTATCTATTTCAAAAATTAAATTGTTCGAATTAGCGATGGGAACTATCGAATGAATTAGACTATCGAATGGTTAATGAATGAATGATTTCAACTATCGAATGGTTTTATTCGAATAAAATCATTCATTCATTTGTATACTAAAGCATATGTGACAATCTCGCCGTGCGACTAAATGGTTATCGTTGAGTCACGACTATCGAATGCTTTTGATAAATGAAATTTAGTATTCGTTTGATTTTTGTATGCGTCAGTGCATTATCAGTTCTTCCAAATTTTTATAACTTCGCCGTATAAATACTGTGCTATTTTTGCGTTTATTAAAATAGTTAAAATACTAAAATAGTAGTTATTTTTTAATTTTATTTATTGACGATTGTGTGCATGTGCAGGTGGTCAAAATTTTTCCGAAAATTTGTGTGGTTTTCCGTAGTACGATCTTTCAATTATTTAATTTTATATGGTATATGGTCTATTTTTTAATGGGAAATTTTGAGAAGTAGCAATTTTTAAGAGAGATGAGATGAACTTACAATTAATTTAAAAAATACATATTTGTATTTTAGATGTTTTAATAATATGAATTAGTTGAACTTAATAATCATATTTAAGTAATGTGGTTGTATAATCATATTTAAGTAAATGGTTATCGAACTCAAACTATGGGGTGAGAAAATTAAAATGAAAGTTTTACACGTGCCAATTTAAAAAAAAAAGTTAACAATGTTTATATTTTGTTTATGCTAATTCTTTTACATGTAGTTTTTTGCGAAGAAAAAATATTTCATTTATTTTTTAAAGTAAATGCCAGTAAAAGTAAATATAATTTTTAAATAGTAATATAAAGCACCTAATATAAATAATTTTGATTTCTAATTTTTTATTTATATTTTCCTTACATTACACTGCATGCTTAGAAAATTAATAAATGTTTATATTTCATGATTTTAAAATTTGTTGTTAATATAACAAATTAGTTCTGTAATTATTATTATTTAATAAACCACCGTTGCCAAAAAATTTAGAGACTATATTATTTTTAAATAGGATCTAATATAAATAATTTTGACATCTAATTTGTTGTTTATATTTTGCTACTACTTAAAAGAAAATATTTATATTAAATGATTTTAAATTTTGTTGTTAATAGGTATAACAAATTATTATTGTTATTATTATTTATTAAACCAGTCTTTGCTAAAAAACATTAAAAATAATTTTCCTACATCCAAAATAACAAGTATTATTGCAGTGTAACAACAGAATATTAATAAAAAATGCAGAATATATAAACATACTATCCCTAATGCTAACTAAAGCCAAACAATAATATTCTTTGCTAATATCAACTAATACCAAAATATGGCAACAGCGCCCTTCATAATGTATTTTCTGTGTAAATACTAGCACCTCAATAAAAAAAATAATGTGTCCTTATCTATATCTGACTCCGCAAAAAATCAAAGATGCCGGCTTCTTTCATAGCATCGCCACCGACCGCTGTCGGGTTTCTCGGAAAGAAACCTACGTCGCCGGGCGACAACTAAAATTCAGTTAATATTTTATTATAATCGATCCTGACGAATGAATGAATTTCATAAAGGAATGAATTTTATAAATGAATGGTTTTTGCTGCCGAATTACTAGAATACAATATTTCAAGGCAGATGACGGATCTATTCGATAATTTTTATTCGAATAGTTTTCAACGAATGTTTTCTTACTAACTATCGAATTATTCGAATGGATTGCAACTATTGAATGTTTCGATTGTATTCATTCGATAGTTCCCACTACTAGTTCGAATGTCATATAATAATGACCGCAGCTGTCATGAAATTGGGCGATTAAAAAATTATCATAAATAATTTTTTTCAAATGGAAACCCACTTTTTTCATTTCACTAGTGAAAAGGCTTTTCAATTCGTTACTTTTTTACTATACATGTTCCTATACTTAAAATAAATCGTTTTTAAGTTATTTAAGATTTAGTTTTAAAGAGTATATTTTTCTTGATTTCAACGAATTTCCTATGACTTTAACCGTCAAGTGATGTAAAACAATAGATCTGACCATGTCATATTGTGACACTTTGTTCAAAAAGCAGTATGTTATCGATCATCATTTCCAAGCCAACTTTGCGCTGTTTATTTTTCGATCATACGGTATATTATTAATAATTAATAATATCAACTATTAGATATCACTAAAGAGGGAAAATATGAGATATATTTTTATAAATTTACTTTTTAAACTCTTAAGGCAGCAGTATTTATAATATAACAAATTCAAATAATTCGTGTTCTGACAGATGGAAATAAATTATTGTCTGACTGTTTGCCACTTAATGTCAAATGACGCTAGATAAAATAAAGAAATATATACGTTTTCAAACTAAATGTTAAATAACTTAAAAACGATTTATTTTAGGTATAGGAACATGTATAGTTAAAAAGTAACGAATTGAAAAACCTTTTCAATAGTGAAATAAAAAAGTGGGTTCCCATTTCGAAAAAAAAATGATTTATAATAATTCTTTAATCGCTCAATTCCATGACAGCTACCGCCATTATTATATGACGTATAAACAATTTAATTTTTGAAATAGATAGCTACATGTCTTCTCTTTATGTCACAGTAGCTGTAGTAATCACTAATTTTGACTTTTAGGCTATACAAACTTTTTTGACAGGTAGATTTTTTCGTCCAAAAACTTTATTTTTTTTTTCTCAAAAACGGTTATTGTTAGATATAAGTGTTTAATAAATAAAGTGTTTATAGAGTGTTTAACATCAATATTCATAGAATTTTACAAAGAATTTAAGTACTATGTAATAAAAATGTCAACTTCCGGTATTTATGGAAGTGCCGCCATATTAAAAATATTTTTAATCGATAAATCTCGTTGTAAAATAATGACGTGCAAAAAATCTCCAATCTGGATATTGTGGTTCTCTAGAAACTTCTAATGCACGCTCAGCCTGGAACACCCTGTATATCAGAAATGAAAATCCTTAAAAATCGTACCAAAGTTACGCTGCTTTACGGTACACATATACAGGGTTGTTCACCACATACGACACGGAGTATTGTAGCTAAACGATTAGATTTTTACAAATTGTAAGTTTTGGGTTCGTTGAAGGACTATTAGAGCTACAATTTAAAAATATTTTTACAAGATACAGAGTGTTCCAAATAAATAAAAAATATCAAAGTTGTATTTTTTTAAATGGAACACCCTGTATAGTATTACATTTATAGTTTCTATGATTAAAATAAAGGTAAATTTGATTAAGGTTTATCACACTTAAACCTTACCGTATTTGAAATATTTTCAATTTTGTGAAATTGCAGTAAAAATTTTAAGGCTTCATTTCTCTAAGGGCATGAAAGTTTTTAACACTGAATATTTACTGAAGTTTATTTATTGATCAGTTATTGTGTTGCAATAATAAAAATAATATTATCTCATACAGAGTGTCTAAAAATTTATTTTATATAATTTCTAGCTTTAAACAGCAATGACTTGTTTAATTTAAATGGTACACCCTGTATATTTTAGGAGAATCAGATGCACAATTTAATTGTCTATCAAATTATATTATACCATTCTTTACCTATCTAGCAAACATGTACAGGTGCTAAAAACGATAATATTAGTAGCCCATTTGTATACAAAAAGATAACTATTTAAATCTTTATAAAAGAATAAACCAATAATGTGGCAAATTTAGCCACCAACCCCGGATCTAAGGGGGGGGGGGCAAAACGGGGCACCTGCTCCGGGCGCCAATGTCAGGGGGCGTGAAAATCATAATATAATATAACACGGTTGAAAATAAAAAAAATGCTCCACAAAGCGCTAGTATGCACCTTGCGTTCTTCTATCAAGTATTCATTTTATTCTTTGAATAAGAAGACTAAGGAAGGAGCATAATGCTATCCATGTATTCATGCATGGTGGGCGGAAAAAGGACTCTAGGGTGGGGATCCTTGACAGTTCTGTTTGACGATTCATTTGACACATTTGAATTTGATTTGAAATTTTATGGAGTTGTCAGTCTTTATGGAGCTTATTTTATGTTATTTATTATTTATTCTACTACTGATAGTTGTATAAAGGTAGTAAATCTAGATGGAAATTGTGACAGAACTTAAATTAACAGTGACACTATCGCGATTTATCGAAAAAGACTCTAAAATAGTTGGTTGTGTAGCGTGTGGTAGATCTCAAAAATCGAGTGAAATAATGGAACAACTTTTCGCTAGTAAGTGACTATATAATATACATACGTATAGTAAACCGATCATTTATGAAATTCACTTAAATTAACTAATTATATATTTTTTCTTGCATTTTTGCTTTTATTTACTACTTGTCAAAGATTAGATGTCAAAGAATTTAGATACGTCAATTTGCCTTACCTGCTTCAGTAGCGTATCGGATGTTTATGGTTATAAATAATTATTATAATTTATCTATTTTTATTAGAATTTTATATTTTTATAACAATTTTAATAACTACCAACATTTATTCACAACGTAAAATAAAAAAAAATTATTGAGTCTACCCCACGTCTACCCTACATCATAGTTTTACATTTTTTAAATAAAATTAGTTCGGCACTGATAAACCGGAAATTAAGTCGGCCATATTTGATGCCCATCGCGGTGGACCTAAGATATCCTTGCAACAGCTTGCGGTAGTCAGTTGTATCCATAAAGAAAGCCAAATATTTAGCTTATAAAACAATACACTTTTGATTTCTAACCACGATTTCTCTTGACGGATGCTATAAGCAATGGCCAAAATTAAATTTCCCGCAAAATTTGAAGTATAATTAGTGGAAAACTTAATAGTTTCTTTACTTTTTCTACTTATTGAAAATGGCTATCACTAATTTAGACGTTCTGAATGCTTACATTGAAATTAAAAGAACAAACTTCTACGCTAATTGAAACCACTAATTTATTCCACTAATTCGGAGGTTCTGAATGAAGCTTAAGGGCTAATTCTGTCCCGTTTACGAAAAATGCCTACCTATATCTAGATATTTGTAAGTTTTTTAAATTAATTTATTGCAAACGCTGGAGAGGGGGCGCTACAATCAATTTTTTGCCCCGGTTCAAAAAAATTCTAGATCCGGTGCTGTTTGCCACCATTATTTCCGCCCAAATATTAATTAATTACATACTTAATTGTGATAGTTAATAAATCGTTCTAAATAAATGTGGATTTGAATCAGAAATCAATATAATAATAAGTTATGAAAATGAACGTCTCTGTTGTTATAAATAATTATTCGTCAAAAAATTAAAAATTAAGTAACATTTTTAAGGTGTTAATTTTTACCACACGGTCTAATACACATACAAAATTATGTTTTTAGTATTTGGAGCAATTATTATTAATCAACGGAACAATATTAGTATCTGTACTCTTTAAAAATTTGTTACATCTTTAAAAATAATCGGAAATGTCAATATTCCAATTTAGTCCAATTTAGACCAATGAGGTCCAAATTATAAGAAAATGCATTTTCTACGAAAACTTGAAGAGATCGGTAAAAATGGTATGATACAATTTGATAGACAATTAAATTGTGCATCTGATTCTCATAAAATATACAGGGTGTTTCATTTAATTTAAACAAGTTATTGCCGTTTAAAGCTGGTAATTATCTAAAATAAATTTTTAGAAACTCTGTATAAGCTGGTAAAATTTTTATCATTGCAACATAAAAGTTAGTAAATAGAAATACTTCAGTGCAATATTTGGTTTTGAAAACTTAAATACGCCTAGAGAAATGAAGCATTAAAATTATTACTGTATTGTGACAAAAACCTAAATATTACAAAAACGGTAAGATTAAAATGCGGTAAACTTTAACCAAATTCACCTTTATTTTAATCGTAGAAACTAAAAATGTAATAATATACAGGGTGTTCCATTTAAAAAAATATAACTTTGATATTTTTTATTTATTTGGGACGCTCTGTATCTTGTAAAAATATTTTTAAATTGTAGCTCTAATTAGCGATGGGAACTATCGAATGAATTAGACTATCGAATGGTTACTGAATGAATGATTTCAACTATCAAATGGTTTTATTCGAATAAAATCATTCATTCATTTGTATACTAAAGCATATGTGACAACCTCGCCGTGCAACTAAATGGTTATCGTTGAGCTCCGACTATCGAATGCTTTTGATAAATGAAATTTAGTATTCGTATTCGTTTGACTTTTGTGTGCGTCAGTGCATTATTAGTTCTTCCAAATTTTTATTACTTCACCTTATAAATACTGTGCTATTTTTGCGTTTATTAAAATATTTAAAATACTAAAATAGTAGTTTTTTTAAATTGACGATTGTGTGCGTGTGCAGGTGTCAAAATTTTTCCGATAATTTGTGTGATTTTCCATAGCCCGATCTTTCAATTATTTTATTTTATTTGGTATATATATATATATATATAGTCTATTTTTTAATGGGAAATTTTGAGAAGTAGCAATTTTTAAGAGAGATGAGATGAACTTAGAATTAATTTTAAAAATACATATTTGTATTTTAGATGTTTTAATAATATGAATTAGTTGAACTTAATAATCATATATATTTAAGTAATGTGGTTAAGTAAATGTGGTTATCGAACTCAAACTATGGGGTGTGAAAATTAAATTGAAAGTTTTACACGTGCCAATTTAAAAAAAAGTTAACGATGTTTGTATTTTGTTTATGCTAATTCTCTTACATGTAGTTTTTTGCAAAGAAATATTTCATTTATTTTTTAAAGTAAATGCCAGTAAAAGTAAATATTATTTTTAAATAGTAATATAAAGTACCTAATATAAATAATTTTGATTTCTAATTGTTTATTTATATTTTCCTTCCATTACACTGCATGCTTAGAAAATTAATAAATGTTTATATTTCATGATTTTAAAGTTTGTTGTTAATATAACAAATTAGTTCTGTAATTATTATTATTTAATAAACCAACGTTGCCCACAAACAATTTAAAGACTATATTATTTTTAAATAGGATCTAATATAAATCATTTTGACATCTAATTTGTTGTTTATATTTTGCTACTACGTAAAAAAAATGGTTATTTTAAATTATTTTAAATTTTGTTGTTAATAGGTATAACAAATTATTACTGTTATTATTATTTTTATTAAACCAGTCTTGACTTAAAAACATTAAAAATCATTTTCCTACATCCAAAATAACAAATATTATTGCAGTGTAACAACAGAATATTAATAAAAAAATGCAAAATATATAGACATACTATCCCTAACTAACTAAAGCCAAACAATAATATTCTTTGCTAATATCAACTAATACCAATACATGGCAACAGCGCCCTTCGTAATGTATTTTCTATGTAAATACTAGCACCTCAATAAAAAAATAATGTGTCCTTATCTTTATATGACTCCGCAAAAAATCAAAGATGCCGGCTTCTTTCATAGCATTGCCACCGACCGCCTGTCGGGTTTCTCGGAAAGAAACCTACGTCGCCGGGCGACAACTAAAATCCAGTTAATATTTTATTATAACGGATCCTGACGAATAAATGAATTTCATAAATGAATGAATTTTATAAATGAATGAATTTTATAAATGAATGGTTTTTGCTGTGACGCATCTATTAGATAATTTTTATTCGAATAGTTTTCAACGAATGTTTTTTTACTAGCTATCGAATTATTCGAATGAATTGCAACTATCGAATGTTTCGATAGTATTCATTCGATAGTTCCCACTACTAGCTCTAATAGTCCTTCAACAAACCCAAAACTTACAATTTGTAAAAATCTAATCGTTTAGCTACAATGCTCCGTGTCGTATGTGGTGAACAACCCTGTAGATTGCCATTGTAATGCAACAAAATACACCTTGATTTATTACTAAATATTATTGAAAAGAAATAAATTATTTCTTATTCCATAGATGGTGGTTTGAACCTCAGTAGAGGCCAGCAAGCAAGAATAAATCTAGCAAGAGCAATTTACAGAGATAGCGACATCTACCTGCTCGACGACCCTTTAGCGGGCCTAGACGTTCGAGTACAGGAAGCCATTATCAGCAATTGTCTGAAAAACTTTCTTAAGAACAAGATCGTTATCTTCGTGACCAACAACCTCGATCACTTAAAATATGCAAAGGAAATAATTATCATTGATAGGGGTGAAGTTAAAATCAAATCAGCAACTGATGAAGTACCGGTGGAGATTATTACTAAAACTAACTTTTTGGAAGAAAACCGCGTTCACAATAACGATGTTTCTCTCCATGAAATTTCTAGAAATATCTATCACGAGGAGAAACAGATGGGGCATGTGGATTTTACGCATTATGTGAAGTATATCAAGTTTGGTGGTGGAGTAGTAATGTTTACTTTTATTTTTGGAATTTTTGTCAGCGCCCAGTTCACAGAGAGCTACTCCGAGAAACTTCTTTCTAAATGGTAAATATTTTGTAAATTTATTGACAAATTTTTTAAACAAAGTGTTTTCTAAGTAAGTTAAAATCTTTGAATAAAAAGATTAAGAGTCCATTTCACTAGTACGAAAAAGTAGCAAAATAAGCGTTCGGCATTTAACGTTTTATGTAAAACTTGCTAGGTATTTTTACGCAAATGAAGAAGGAAATTAAAAATAAAGGATTATACTATATCCGTATTGTAGCACATGTTTAGACAACTTCTTTATTTTTAAGATTTTGATGATCAAACATCAACAAAATATTCTTTACGTTTGGACTAAATTTTCTCGAAAATAAAGACATAATTTAAAATTCCGTTCCAATACGTAAATAGATTGAAGTTTTGTGATTACAGTGATATATAATTTATATGGTTTTGTAACAAATTGCTCGCTATTTTAGGGCAAATGCTGAAGCTCTGCAAACCTTAATCAAGCCGTAATCCAAGCACGTGTCCGGGAAGGGTTCATAGTTTCATAGTTGTCGATTTTCGAAAGAAATCAGTACATGTATATTATTCCGTATATTTTTCATTTTATTGATTTTATGGAAAGCACTGTTCATTAAAATGTTGTATCCTATGTTATAGGGCTTGTTTCTCTCTACAATTTCCTGTCTCATAATGTACCGTTTGTGTCCGGGAAGGGTTCATAGTTTCATAGTTGTCGATTTTCGAAAGAAATCAGTACATGTATATTATTCCGTATATTTTTCATTTTATTGATTTTATGGAAAGCACTGTTCATTAAAATGTTGTATCCTATGTTATAGGGCTTGTTTCTCTCTACAATTTCCTGTTTCACAATGTACCGTTTATGTCCGGGAAGGGTTCATAGTTTCATAGTTGTCGATTTTCGAAAGAAATCAGTACATGTATATTATTCCGTATATTTTTCATTTTATTGATTTTATGGAAAGCACTGTTCATTAAAATGTTGTATCCTATGTGATAGGGCTTGTTTCTCTCTACAATTTCCTGTCTCATAATGTACCGTTTGTGTCCGGGAAGGGTTCATAGTTTCATAGTTGTCGATTTTCGAAAGAAATCAGTACATGTATATTATTTCGTATATTTTTAATTTTATTGATTTTATGGAAAGCACTGTTCATTAAAATGTTGTATCCTATGTAATAGGGCTTGTTTCTCTCTACAATTTCCTGTCTCATAATGTACCGTTTGTGTCCGGGAAGCGTATTCGCATTGTCTCCTATGGTACGACGCAGCCTTAGAAAAATGTATGCCGAATCACGGAAGACAATGTACCACGATTTGCGAATAATAGGCTCGACATTCTCTCCTGCATTAGGACGCCGCATTGTATACTGAGGCGGCTAAATACAGTAGATTATTTTCTCCGAAAATGCTAATCATGAAAATGTTTCAAAGCATATTATATTCTTCCTGCATTGAAGAAGCCGAAACACAATACGATGTAATATTAAGGGAGAATGCATCCAAAAAATATCCCCAGCTTGGGTTTATTTTTGAGTCACCTTGTATCAATTTGGGAGAGAAGAACAGAATGGTGTTTATGCCTCAGAAAAGACGTCCTTACACAATAAATTAAGTTATAACACAAACAATTATGTTGTGCATGCGTTTAATGCGTTGCAAAGCGTTTAATGCATGTGCTCTTGTAGACTTCATTGTTAGTGTTTTCGAAACCTGTACATAAAATGGACCCAAACACTTACAGAATTTTTTCAGACGAAAGTGATCGACTCAGTGATAATTACACTGAAAATATTGAACAAAGTAGAAACATACCAATGAATATCGAAGAAGAAAAATCAGTTAAAATTCAAAGAATAGGATTCACTGAAGGGCCGTCTGATCCCCTGCACATACGTGAAGTGACTATTTTAAAATCCAATTTTGTTCGAACTTCCGAAATTGCACTTAATAATCCAAATAGCGACTTAACTAAAGCAATACATAATATTAATCTTACAATTAGCCCGTTAACAACTGCTACACAAGTACAGTCATATTTTTGCCAAATGAAAATCGCGAAAAAATATTGTTACAACCGCGGACGGCAAATTGGAGTACAGCCTACATCCAAGTCCAGATGTAAAATTCGACCTAGATTTACGTCTGGGGCGAAGAGGATTCAGTCAGGTAGACCCTCAAAAAACGAAGTTAAACAGGTAACCAAAAAGAGGAGGAACTTATCAGCAAACGTGAATAAAAACACACCTAATGCAAAATCTCACTAACCATGTTTTTTTGTATGTATTGTTACGAAGCAATAAAATAAAGCAGAAGACTTACATTTCATTTTTACATAGTAGATATTGCCACTCAAATGTCACTAACCATGTTTTTTATATATATTATTATGAAATAATAAATGAAAAAAGCACTTCTGCTTAAGGTGTCACGTCACGCAAATTGCATTTTTATATAGTAGATATCGCCCCTCATAACGGGAAAATAATTTGTGACAATATCTACTGTACTTAGACGCTTTAAGATACAGCGCGTGGCGTCCTAATGCAGGAGAGAATGTCGAGCCTATTATTCGCAAATCGTGGTACATTGTCTTCCGTGATTCGGCATACATTTTTCTAAGGCTGCGTCGTACCATAGGAGACAATGCCAATACGCGTCCGGGAAGGGTTCATAGTTTCATAGTTGTCGATTTTCGAAAGAAATCAGTACACGTATATATATTATTTCGTATATTTTTCATTTTATTGATTTTGTGGAAAGCACTATTCATTAAAATGTTGTATCCTATGTTATAGGGCTTGTTTCTCTCGACAATTTCATGTTTCACAATGTACCGTTTGTGTCCGGGAAGGGTTCATAGTTTCATAGTTGTCGATTTTCGAAAGAAATCAGTACATGTATATTATTTCGTATATTTTTCATTTTATTGATTTTATGGAAAACACTGTTCATTAAAATGTTGTATCCTTTGTTATAGGGCTTGTTTCTCTCTACAATTTCATGTTTCACAATGTACCGTTTGTGTCCGGGAAAGGTTCATAGTTTCATAGTTGTCGATTTTCGAAAGAAATCAGTACATGTATATTATTTCGTATATTTTTCATTTTATTGATTTTATGGAAAGCACTGTTCATTAAAATGTTGTATCCTATGTTATAGGGCTTGTTTCTCTCTACAATTTCCTGTCTCACAATGTACCGTTTGTGTTCGGGAAGGGTTCATAGTTCCATAGTTGTCGATTTTCGAAAGAAATCAGTACATGTATATTATTTCGTATATTTTTTATTTTATTGATTTTATGGAAAGCACTGTTCATTAAAATGTTGTATCCTATGTTATAGGGCTTGTTTCTCTCTACAATTTCCTGTCTCATAATGTACCGTTTGTCTCCGGGAAGGGTTCATAGTTTCATAGTTGTCAATTTTCGAAAGAAATCAGTACATGTATATTATTTCGTATATTTTTCATTTTATTGATTTTATGGAAAGCACTATTCATTAAAATGTTGTATCCTATGTTATAGGGCTTGTTTTTCTCTACAATTTCATGTTTCACAATGTACCGTTTGTGTCCGGGAAGGGTTCATAGTTTCATAGTTGTCGATTTTCGAAAGAAATCAGTACATGTATATTATTTCGTATACTTTTCATTTTATTGATTTTATGGAAAGCACTATTCATTAAAATATTGTATCGTATGTTATAGGGCTTGTTTTTCTCTACAATTTCATGTTTCACAATGTACCGTTTGTGTCCGGGAAGGGTTCATAGTTTCATAGTTGTCGATTTTCGAAAGAAATCAGTACATGTATATTATTTCGTATATTTTTCATTTTATTGATTTTGTGGAAAGCACTGTTCATTAAAATATTTTATCCTATGTTATAGGGCTTATTTCTCTCTACAATTTCCTATCTCACAATGTACCGTTTGTGTCCGGGAAGGGTTCATAGTTTCATAGTTGTCGATTTCCGAAAGAAATCAGTACATGTATAATATTATTTCTTATATTTTTCATTTTATTGATTTTATGGAAAGAACTGTTCATTAAAATGTTGAATCCTATGTTATAGGGCTTGTTTTTCTCTACAATTTCATGTTTCACAATGTACCGTTTGTGTCCGGGAAGGGTTCATAGTTTCATAGTTGTCGATTTTCGAAAGAAATCAGTACATGTATATTATTTCGTATATTTTTCATTTTATTGATTTTGTGGAAAGCACTGTTCATTAAAATATTTTATCCTATGTTATAGGGCTTGTTTCTCTCTACAATTTCCTATCTCACAATGTACCGTTTGTGTCCGGGAAGGGTTCATAGTTTCATAGTTGTCGATTTCCGAAAGAAATCAGTACATGTATATTATTTCTTATATTTTTCATTTTATTGATTTTATGGAAAGAACTGTTCATTAAAATGTTGTATCCTATGTTATAGGGCTTGTTTTTCTCTACAATTTCATGTTTCACAATGTACCGTTTGTGTCCGGGAAGGGTTCATAGTTTCATAGTTGTCGATTTTCGAAAGAAATCAGTACATGTATATTATTTCGTATATTTTTCATTTTATTGATTTTGTGGAAAGCACTGTTCATTAAAATATTTTATCCTATGTTATAGGGCTTGTTTCTCTCTACAATTTCCTATCTCACAATGTACCGTTTGTGTCCGGGAAGGGTTCATAATTTCATAGTTGTCGATTTCCGAAAGAAATCAGTACATGTATATTATTTCTTATATTTTTCATTTTAGTGATTTTATGGAAAGAACTGTTCATTAAAATGTTGTATCCTATGTTATAGGGCTTGTTTTTCTCTACAATTTCATGTTTCACAATGTACCGTTTGTGTCCGGGAAGGGTTCATAGTTTCATAGTTGTCGATTTTCGAAAGAAATCAGTACATGTATATGATTTCGTATATTTTTCATTTTATTGATTTTGTGGAAAGCACTGTTCATTAAAACATTTTATCCTATGTTATAGGGCTTGTTTCTCTCTACAATTTCCTATCTCACAATGTACCGTTTGTGTCCGGGAAGGGTTCATAATTTCGTAGTTGTCGATTTCCGAAAGAAATCAGTACATGTATATTATTTCTTATATTTTTTATTTTAGTGATTTTATGGAAAGAACTGTTCATTAAAATGTTGTATCCTATGTTATAAGGCCAGTGGCGCATCTAGAGATTGAGTCTGGCAGGGGTAGTGGGAATATTCAAAAAAGTACTAAATTTGAATTAAATTTTTGCTGGAAGGTATTGTAACTGTGGAAAAAAATCTACTTGGTTTGTTTTGGATATTCTGTTTTAATTTATATTATTAATTTTTTTGTAACAATTTTATTTTATACAAAATTTTATCTTATTAATTAATTTCTTTCTGGGAGGGGTAATTACCCCTCCCGTATATGCGCCCCTGGCTTAACACGACAGGATCGGGATAAGCCTTAGGCAGATTTCTGAAATATAATATATATATTCCTTCAGCCACACACCCCCTTTACCCGACCCCCGAGAGCAAAAAAACGCAAAAAAAATATTTTTTACGCGTAAAAAGCAACTTGTTACATGTAAAAAACTACTTTTTTATGCGTAAAAAATATATTTTTTTAATTTATTACTTTCTCAACATTTCAAACTACACTTTTTCAAACATGTCTTTCAAATCCTTCAATTTAGCAGCTGTTAGTAAGAAGTTTCACTTCAAATATGCGCACATAGTGCACACACAATTTTTTATACATATTGATTTTAGGGTAGATCATCAACATGATTCATTAAATAATTCTTCAACAAATACCACAGTACTTATTGATGAAGAGAAGAAGTCAGCACAATCTGTCTTTAATCTTTATATGATCATGATAGGACTATCAACTGGTCTAGATTTGATTAAAGCTTGTGCCTTCCTGACATACTGTAGGAATGCTTCTATAAAGTTTCATAAAACGCTGTGTCACAGTATTATGAATTGTGTCATAACATTTCTGGATAATCATTTTATAGGAAATATACTAAACAGGTAAAAATTAAACAAATTTATAGATAAATATTTTAATATATGTAGATATACAGGGTGGTCCGAATTTTATTCCATATTCTGTAGATAAAAATAAGTAAAAAAATTCTTATAAATGTATGTCCTAAGATGACGTTTTTTACGTAAAAAAATCTTGGTAAAAATCGCTACGAGTAATGGTTTTCGAGATATTTGGAATCGAAATTATCAATACCTGTCATCATTGACATAAATTAAACATATTGACAAAATAGTTATTAGACTGAAATCATAAATTTGAAATGTTTTTGTGTCAAAAGTTTAATAGAAAATGTTTTATCATAATTTTTTCGAAGAAAAATTTATGATTGATTTAAAAATATAAAAATTTCCCAAATTTATTATTTCAGCCAAATAACTATCTCTACTCGTATTTATTTTTTGTCAATAATGACATGTATTGACTTTTCCATTCTAAATATCTTGAGAACGGTTGCTCGTAGCGATTTTTAGCAAGAGACATTTTTTACATAAAAAGTCATGGAAATGTATATTTTTTCACTCAGTAGTTTTATACAGATCCGGACGAAAAGTTATTACTCTTCAAAACAGTTAAAACACATGTAGGTGGCGCCCTCTACAAATAGGAGTAATACTGACATCAAAATCAAATTTCTCATGTCAAAAAACTCAAAGACACCAATTTTCATCCAAATATTGAGGTTACTTCAGAAATTATTTGGAAAAAATCGAAATAAAAATGAAACTTCTACACCCGGTATCTCCGAAACTAAGCATTTTAGGACATACATTTATACGAACTTTTTTACTTATTTTTATCTGCAGAATATGCTGCCGAAGTTACCGCAATACAGTTCGGATCACCCTGTATAACGTAGTTCAAAATACTTTATTAAAATTATTTAAAAGTACATATTTTTTATCTTTTTCCTACCATCTTTAAGTCATTTAGATATTGGCAAAAAATAACACTTTGATGGTAAATTTGTTAAAGATGGGCATATTTTAATTTGAAGAATATTTTCTCTTTGTTTTCAGATATATATTAGGTCTTTTGTATTCAAATAATGTTTTTAAAAATATGCAAATGAATAAGTCTATAGCACTGATTCTTTGAAATAAATATTTCTGTTGTTTTAGATTTTCCTACGACTTGGATTTGATTGACGAACTATTTCCATTTTTGTTTATGGAAATAATCAAGGTAAGTTTACAATAATATCATTGCTTTAAGTATACAGGATGACCCAATGGATGTCCCTTGGACATAGAACTACTACAACTGCAACTAATGTAGGTATTTTGAATAAAAAGCAAATTACCTCTATACAAAAGTGCATTATTTGTCCATGTTAGAGGGCATCAATCAAAAATAAACCCAAACGTGAATTATTAATTTAAAATTTATGTAGCTGATTGTCTAAAATTAGTTATGACACTGCCTATACTAGATTAACGCGCATCTCCTATTCAACATATTCCTGGCAGCACTCTGTATTATAGAGAACAGCAAAGTGCAGACTGCAGGAAAGAGGAAATAGCAGTATATACAGATACGAGGGTGGTCAACATATAAAGACTCAGGGCAAAAACATGTATAAAATTCATCACAGAACTCCAATATGCTAATGACTGCGCTCTAGTTGCAAAAACGTTACAGCAATTACAAAAAAAGCCGTACACATATATGTACCTGGGCATACGAGCCTTTGGGCCTTAAACTGAACATCGATAAAACAAAAATCATGTGCACTTCCCTGAAAAATCATAACAATTCCGTAAAATCGGAGAATAACTATTAGAATATGTAGCGGAATTCAATTACCTCGGCGGTAGTTTGATTTCGGAAACGGCCAATATTGACTCTGAAATTCAGTACATGATTAGCAGCGCCTCAAGAGCATTCTGGAAATTAAAAGACAGGGTTTTCTACAATCATGACTTGAGCACAAAATCCGAAACTTGCAGTGTACCGAGCAATAATAATAAGGATATTTCCCATGAAAACTTAAAAGGGATAATCATGCAGAATCAGTGGGAGAAATCGGCGCACAGTAGAACGCAATGGAGAAGAATTGTAAACTCTGTTAACAACGACAACCAAAAAGTAAAGAGACAACATAGTAATGAGATTTTTGAATGTCCGGACTGCGGAAGAGAGATAACATCATGTATCGGGCTTTTCAGTCACAGAAAAGCTCATGAAAGAAAACGCCTTGCGTAACCATCTTCTGATGCGTATCAAATACTCGTCAGCGAGTAATGGCAGTAGAAGTAGATTTTAACGCTGGATGCGACAAAAAACATTTTTTGTAAGTCAGTTTTGAAAAAACATTATTTTTCCAAAGGTAGCGTATTTTACAAGAAACAAAAAGTGGTAGTAGTAGCAGTGGTTGTTGTAGTTTTTACTTTTTAATTTATGCAGGAGCGAAGGTAGTTTTCACCCCGTACCCTTCCTATTTTTTTTGTGAAATCAGAATCATTGGTATGGAATGTTGGTTCATAAAATGTCACTTTTTTTTAATTGATTCCCCCTAACGGACAAACAAATTACTTTCGTATAAAAGTAAATTGCGTATGAATAACTTATCTTGTTTCGCTGAATATTGGGACACTATGTATAGTTCTTTTTAGCAATCAAATTAATTAATTGTGAACAGTTTTAATAAATGTATATGATAGGAATATAACATTTCTTTATTTTTTTACAGAATAGTCTTGCTGTAGCTGGAGTACTCGTCTTGGTTATTAGTGTAAACAAGATCTTTTTATTTATATCTATTTTTATGATTGTACTCTTGGTATTATTGAGGACTTTCTACATCCCTGCAGCCAGAGCATTGACAAGATTATCTGCTTTAAGTGAGTAATAAAACTGTCGAAAGAGAAATTCATTTTTCTTTTGAAACACACTGAACATTGAAAACCCAATTTTCATTGTATTCTCGTCTCCCTTATTTCTGAGGGCTTATGATCAAGAAAAATCACAGATCTTCCTGGGTCTGAGTAAGAACAATCTTCGGATTGTCACGGGGTTTTTAACAGGACACTGTCTCCTCAATGAACACCTCAGTAGATTGAAACTAAGAAGAAACGGCGAACGCAGATTCTGTGGGGAAGATGGTGAAACACCAGTACACCTCATCACTGAGTGCGCCGAGACGACAACCATTCGTGCCATGAATTTTGGTACGACTGATATTGGAGATGGAGAACTACCCTCTATAAAACCGTTCCAGATACTGGCTTTTGTCAAAGCCCTGGGACTGTATGATGAGTTATGATTCAAGAAAGGGGGACACAATGGATCTGTAAGGTCGAAGTGATTAACCCCCCTCCCACTCATTCATTCATTCTCTCCCTTATTTCTACATGCGGGACTCAATAGAAGCAGACCGACCATTGCGTTAAAGCTGGAAGGAATCCCCTAACAACACTGAGAACATTAACAGTGCAAGATCCAAGGGGCCAACCCCAAAGGGAACTACAGAAGAGCAAACCGAACCCACTCCTCTTGTAAGGGTCGGGAGCCTACCTCTAGACCCAACAGGCTACATAAGCTACCGTTTCCTCTACTTTCTTCAGGCGGGCTACACGACTCGCTGAGAGTAGATCTCAGCGGAGCAGAACTACGGAGATACCTCCGACTGCTCCACGAAGGATTTGCTCCAAAGAAAGGAAAAGCGAAAACACTCCTCGAAAAAGGGGAGAGTAAAGGAACCACGAAACAGCCTGGTGCATCTCCACCAAAGGACAAAAGGGAGAGAGAGCGAAAACCTCTCACCTCTGCTCCGGCAACGAGAGAAAAAGCCAGGATGGAGAGCCGTCCAACATCGGGAGACACGCAGGGACGTATTATCAGCTTTGCCAGAACTCCAACGTAAGAACATCGAGCAGGCGAGTCATCAACTCAATGGTGGAGGGCCATGATGAGGTCCTGACTATAGGAATTGACCTCAAATCCAAGAAGACAACAGAGAAAGAGGGATATATCCTCTTTTATATAAGGCCAGCTCTAAGGAGAGGCCAAGTTAAAGAGGTGGAGAAAACGGAGACAGATCTTCCAGCCTCCTTACGGGTACATAAGCCGGAGACAAGTTTCTCGACTGTGAAGGGCACGGAGGGCCAAACCCAACCGTGGGAAGGTGTATACCCTCGTAGGAGGAAGATGTCCAGTCCTCGGAAGAGGAACAGCTATTGTCAGAAGAGGATGGAACTGTCCCTTCTACAGCAGAGCAGGAAGATCTCCTTGTATGATGAGTTATAAACTGCATAATGAGTTATAACTCAAGAAAGGGTAACAATAGATCTTTAGGGTTGCGGTGATTACCTCCCCCTTTCATTCATTGTACATTCTACATGTTATAGTCTGTTCAACAACTCGGGTAAGATTTCGACAGACGACATCTAAAAAATGACAGACATATCTGTCACTGTTGCGTATCCTCTCGTTGTGGACAGCCCATAAATCTAATATAATCTACCGTAGTGCTAGTTGAATATTTAATTAAAAATAAAATACTGGAAACTGGGAATAATTTAACAGTAAAACTACAATTTATTTTAGCAAGAAGTCCACTAATCGGGCACATAAACGCATCATTGGAAGGTTTGTCCACCGTCCGAGCATTTGAAGCACAGCCCTTGCTGAAAGACGAATTCGATAAGCATCAGAACGTGGCCCTTTCATCCGCATACATGGAAACGACAGCAGCGAGAGCATTTGGGTATGCCCTTGACTCTACTGGCGCATTATTCCTTGTTATGGTTATTCTTGCCTTTTTGTTTATGGATACAGGTATATATTTATATCGGATTATACAGGGTCCGGCAATAGTGCGTCAGGCATCTGTAGCTCCTATAATAACAAAACTTCAGATGAACACACCCTGTATATTATTGCAATTTTGGCTTCCTTTCCAATTAATTATTTGATAACTACTTGGTTACTTTTGAACCGCCATGCCATAACTTTCATAAGTTTATGTTGATTAACCAGTTAGCAACCCATCAGAGTAAACTCTTTGCCTTCAATATTCGCGAAAACCATCGCTCTAGGACTCTAGGCGATGTGCAACAAGAGTACCTTTTTTTATAGGAAAAAGTATGTAGTTTTCAAAAAATGAACCCACGTTGCAAAAAACATAATCTCAAAAAAGTTATTCACGAAACAACCCCCTACCCTTGCAAAAACTGCCCTTTCCACTTTTCCAAATAATTTTTCAGTATCACCATTTAATTTAGGGTCAAAATTTATGGCAGAGGATTTTTATTCGAAATTTTATCTCGTTTTTTAAACCTGCAATTTCAAAACAACCGTTTTTTAAATTCACCCTTTCAGTGCCCCTAACTCCTTTAATATGCATTTTCCGCCCTATACTTATAGGAACTTTTTTTACTATTTTTAGGAGTACTACCACCCCCTGATTTTTATTACACCATTTCAATGACACCCTGTATAGCGTTTAACGCCTTGGGAGTAGCAAGGGATAGCTTGCCATACTAGAGCCGTTAGGTATACAAGGAAGGTAATATGGCTAGCACTACGCTTCAACCACCTATCCTCAGGATTGTGAATCCCAAGTTTTCATTTAAGGCTGAGTCGACCTAGGTACCCAAATTATTTTTATTTTATTAAAAATAGTCGGCTGATGAACTGCCAGGTGTGGGATTCGAACCCACTACCTTGAGATTGGTAGACGAGAGCCTGTACTGGGTGGGTCAAATTCGACGCTTTTAAATGGAAACACCCTTTTCTATAGGAGATAGACAAAAACTAATATCGGTGTCTGGAGCTCAATTTTTGTCAAAAACATGATGGTGAAAACCGCATATCGATATCTGTTACCGTTTCGGAGTTACGAGGTGTTTTTCAAAAATATGCATTTTTAACAAATCGCTGTAACTTTTTTTGCTATGGAAAATTTTGTATTTTTATGAAAACATTTCCAAAGCACCTTTTTACGTAAAATTGATTGGTTTAAATATAATTTTTTTAAAATTAATAATTTAAGAATTATCAACAGAAAATTTAATTTTTTATATGGGACACCCCGTATATTTTTAATTTATTGAAAATAATTTAAAATTACCTTTCCAATAATATAATACACTTGATATTTTGCTCGCTTCCTCTTCGAGATATAGAGTATATAAAAATTCGTCCGCTTTAAATAAGTAGGCTTTGAACGGCACTGGCTGTAATGCAAAAAAATTCTATCTGTGAGCATCAATTAAAACGGAAATAATATTTGCTACGAGATATGCAGAATTTTATAACAATTTAAAATATATTTAACCAACATCAACACATTTAAAAACTATATCTAATAACAATAAAAATAAATAGCAAACCAAGACATGAGATTTTGCTACAGGTGTTCGACATATCGACCGTCTTCTGTTATGGACACACGGGGCACTTTTTCAACATTTCTCGCGGAATCATTAACTCAGTGGGGGTGAAAGATACTCTCTCATAACTGCTAAGTATTTCTAATTCTTGTCGAGATTATACGGAAGAATAAGGAACCTTTATTCTTCCGCAAATATATCCATAGGATTAGATCCATGGGCACTAAGTCAGTCGGCCTCGACGGCCAACGGCTGGGATCTTGGTTAGCTATTCAATTATTCTTGAAATTGGCTGCAAAAATTTGCTGATAACTTCAGCGTTCAGAGGCGGTGCGTCGTCTTGCTGGAAAAATATGTTTTCGAGTTCCATTAAGGGCATATCATCAATAAGGGGTCCAAAGCCTACTAGTTAAAAGTGGCCGAACTTTTAAAAATTCTGTATTTCGAAGGGTATTATAACAAAATATCAAGTGTGCTATATTTTTGGAAAGGTAATTTTAAATTATTTTCAGTTAATTAAAAATATAGAGGGTGTCCCAAATAAAAAATCAATTTTTCTGTTGATAACTCGTAAATTATTAATTTTAAAAAAATTATACTTAAACCATTAGATTCTACGTAAAAAGGTGCTTTGGAAATGTTTTCATAGAAATACAAAATTTTCCATAGCAAAAAAGTTACAGCCATTTGTTAAAAATTTTTTGAAAAACACCCCGTAACTCCGAAACGGTAACAGATATTGATGTGCGGTTTTCACCATCATGTTTTTGATGAAAATTGAGCTCCAGACACCTATATTAGTTTTCGTCTATCTCCTACAGAAAAGGGTGTTTCCATTTAAAAGCGTCGAATTTGACCCACCCTGTACCTCTACGCCACCGGGCACCTAACTTCAGAAATATTAATAAATAAATAAAAAATATATATTTTTCAGAGCTAAAAATACATATTTTTCAACTTTCTTAAAAAAAATATTAAAAATACAAGAACTGTCCTGAAATCAAAACTCTATTAGATATTTACTTTAAATGATCTATAGTAACGTTTCTATAAATATCGTAATCTTAAATGATTCAGGGTGTCCAAAATTCTACGCCAAACTTTCTAAAATATAAAATAATTTTTCTTTTTTTTTTCCTGTATATTATTTATTTTATTAGATGGAGAGTTACAAAATGAACATTTTTTGTACTTAAAGTATTTCAAAATGTTTAATGGTTTTGCAGATACACGCAGTATTGTTTCGTATGACCCTTTCAACGATGAAATACCAGAGAAAAATCATTGGGTGGCTTTGATAAAATTTTACTCTGGAAAATATGAAATATAAAACCGCGAATATCTCTGAAACCGTTAAAAATGTTGAAATACTCTAAATACAAAAAATGTTTATTATTTAATTCTCCATCTATCGAAAAAATAATATACAGGGTGTTCCATTTAAAAAAACGAAGAAAAATTGTTTTATATTTTAGAAAGTTTGGCGTAGAATTTTGAACATTCTGTATGATTTACGATTACTATATTTATAACAAGGTAAGCACAGACCATCTAAAGTATATACCTGATATAGTTTTGATTTCAGGAAAATTCTTATATTTTTAATAATTTTTTTAAGAAAGCCTGAAAAATATATATTTTATATTTATTTATTAATATCTCTGAAACTATGGAAATATATTTACTCATATCTTAGGATTATGTAAAGTGATCTGAAAGGAAGCCAAAAATGCAATAATATACAGGGTGTTCCTTTAAAAAAAATCATCCAGATCCACTCACACTTTTTTGAGCCACCCTATAAAAGTTAAAATATTTTCCTGAAATACATCGTAGTACATACTTTAGGTTTGCACTTAAACAAAATTCCGAAGTTGTTTATTCTAGGAGCTACAGATGCCCGACGCACTATTGCCTAACCCTGTATAGTGTAGAAGGTTAGGGCTAGACCACAGAAAGGTGGAATTTTGAAAAACTTTCTTTATCCGTCAATTTTATTGCTAAAATTTTCATAGTCAAAGAAATATATAATAATATAATGAAAAAAAAAGTGCAAGAGCATTTTTGCCGTCTTTTTGTCTTGTCTTTTTTTTGCCTTGCTCTTTTTTGCCTTCCAGGAATTTAGCTATAACAATCTGGCAACCCTAGTGAAAATATCTTTCAAAATTATAACTGAATTAATTCAATTTATAACTCCTCTTCCAGATAACACAGTTGGGAACGTAGGTTTGGCAGTAACTCAAGTTTTTCAATTAACCAACAGCTTCCAGTGGTCTATCCAGCTCTGGGCCGAACTGGAACAATGCATGACGTCAGTGGAAAGAGTGATGGAATATACAAACATCGAGCAAGAAGACAAGGAGGGCAAAACGCCAAAACAGTGGATGAAAACAGGAAAGATTGAGTACAGAGATGTCAATTTGTCGTACAATATCGAAGAAAAAGTACTGAAAAATATTAATTTTGTTATTAATCCTAACGAGAAAATTGGAATTGTTGGTAGGACAGGTGCTGGAAAATCATCCATAATATCTACATTGTTTAGACTATATCACTATCAAGGTTATATATTTATCGATAACGTTGATATATCCAGTTTATCTTTACAACATTTGAGAAAACATATTTCAATAATACCTCAATATTCTCTAACATTTGAGGGAACTGTTCGTGCAAACTTAGACCCATGTGATATATATTCAGATAAAGAAATTTGGGATGTTTTAGATAAAATAACACTAACCAAACATATTCCAAACTTAGATATAAATTTGACTGAATTAAAATTAAGTACCGGTCAAGAACATCTAATTTGTTTAGGTAGGGCGTTTTTAAGTAAAAATAAAATTATTGTTTTTGACGAGCCCACAGCCAGCTTGGACAGTAGCATGAGTGATTTAGTACAAAACTTAATTAACATATACTTTGCAAACTGCACGATTATTACAATAGCTCACAGGTTAGAGTCTATTCTACAATGTGACAGAGTGATGGTTCTAGATGATGGATGTATTGCTGAGTTTGACAGTCCTCAGAAATTGCTGGAAAATGAAAATGGATTGTTTAAAAGTATGATAGAAGTTACACGAGTTAAGATATAAGTGTTATGTATACAGAGTGTTTAAAAAAACATGCGCCATCACTCGTTGGGAGATTTCTTACTTAAAAATAAGATTTATTTTTCATATCAACATAGGTCCGATTCTGCTTTGTTTCGTAGCTACAGGGTGCTAAAGTCTTAATATTTTTTCGATTTTTTATAATTTTCTCCCAAGTACTTTTAATGATTCGAATGAAATTTTGAGGGTAAAAGTTATTATAGGTGCTACATAATTTAATGCTAAAAAACTGTCGATAAATTCATCATAAAACATGTGCGCCACTGACTTTTTCCTTTTAATATCAAAATTGTGTAGGTCGTTTAATGTCAGTTAAAAGTTATCTCCTAATATTTTGTCCTTGATGAGATAAACGAAATTAATTACAATTAATAAAATTAAAAATTAATAAATTATATATTTCAACTCTAATTTATTATTAAATATTATTACTATTAGTTACTATTACTATTATCATTAGCCCAACCTAGAGCAATTTCAAATAAAAAAAAATAATGGTATTCAACTTAATTACAAAATACCTAATTTTAAAAAGTTTTAACATCCTGTAGGTAATTCTAAAATTATGCATTTCCATACCCATGTTTATAGAAACTTTTTTTCAATTTTTTTATGAGAAATCAATGAGTATTTATTTAAAGCTTTCAGAAGTTAACGATATTAAAATTTTTTTAAAGGTTGCTATTAGACTTGGATCAAGGCAAATTAATAAAATTGCGTTTATCTCACCAAGGCGGCCAAAATCGACAAAATATCAAGAGACAACTTTTAATCGGCATTAAACTGCTTACACTATTTCGCTAACAAGAGAAAAAAGTTAGTGGCGTACATGCTTTTCTTAGAAAAATATTCTAGTGATAACCCATATGCACGTCCCTGGTGAATATGTCGACACTTTTTTAGCTTGAAAATATGTCGATTTATAGGAACTTTTACCCTCAAAATTTCATTTGAATACGCTAAAAGTACTTGGAAGAAAATTAAAATAAATCGAAAAATTAAGGCTTTAACACCCTGTAGCTACGAAACAAAGCAGAATCGGACCTATGTTGATATGAAAAATAAATCCTATTTTTACTGAGGAATCTCTTCACAAGAGGTTGCACATGTTTTTTGAAACACCCTGTATATTATGTCATTAAGTTATTGTTTTTTTTTTGTTTTTGAAAATAAAAAGATTTTAAAACTTTTGAATTTGATTTCTCCTATGTAGTTTATATTTTGTTAATATGTGTTTACTGGTAATATGTACCAGTTAAAAAAACTCGTTAATGTGCATTAAAACTGTGATTAAAATCAACTAAAATTATCAATATTTTGTTAAACACTCTCCCTCATCCCCATTCCTATGTTACGCTGGTGGATTTTTTATGAAATAGTTCAAATTTCATTGCCCATTTTTTTATCGATACTGGAAAGACCCAGGGGTGCATAATATACAGAAGGTGTAATTATTGTAATTATAATAATGGGGATAATAAACCTTCAGGAAGAATTTTACAAAAAAGTTAAAACAACGTGGTATTACAAATAAAATTGTTACAAGAAAATTATTTAAAATATACCAATCAAAATTGAAAATCCAGACCATTCCAAGTTTATTTTTTTCGCAGTCACAATCATGTCACAATACCACAATACCATATGATCGAAAAAAAACCGTCGTCAGCGATGGCTATGAAATGAAGATCGCTATTGATTGCTATCATTTTATATGTAAAATTATATGGGGAATGTCATCTATGTTCATCCAATCCAACTGGACGCCGTTTTATTTTCGATCAAACAGTACTTTTCAATGTAAATTTAATTTAAATCTAATATCTAATACTTTACCTAAATATTGCCTGATAAATATTTGATGAGCCATTGAAACTGGAAAGAGCGAAAATTAAACGAATAACACTCATACCACTACCACAGCTTACCACTACTACTAATACAGTAATCCGCATATATATTTTTTAAATGTTTATATGGGACAGAAGATGCCAAACTATAAACAGAGATAACTACGAGATGCCCAAGTCAATGTGTATAACTGGTTCTCTAATAGCTATATATAAAAATCCAATGACGGATCCGTGGAATCTGGAGATAGTTGGCGCTGCGATCGGCGCAAAGCGATTCAAAAAGCGCGCCTTTATTTGAATTTAAATATTTTTATATATATATTATAATTACCAAATAAAAGACTAATATAAGAATTAAATTATTTATTAAGAGATAAAAAATAATATTTTTCAAATATGTTACAATAAAATGATAATTTTAAATAAACATAATAATAAATAAATGGTACAAGGAAATAAAACAAACATTTGAGATACAAATGTTGCAGTAAAAAAACAGTAAAAAATGGAATATCCGCCTTTTTTCATATGAAAAAACCATGACATCAGGGAAAAAGCTTTACGTGCCATATGCTTAACGCACGTTAGGGTCCACGTGGAAACACAAACATTCAGCACGGCGAAACAACGTGGCCGCATCCGAAACTCCTTCCAAAGAAAACTTTTCAATACATTGACAAATTTTTATCCTGTGTCCATCCTTGAAAAAAAAAGTATTATTAGATGTGAATGAATTAGGGTTTCCATACATCCGGATTTGGCATGTTTTAGTTTTTATGGTGTCTGGGGTATTATGCGATTAAACTGTTTCACAAAATTATTTAGTTTTTATGATCAGATTTACCGTACTTTCTTTCAATTTCCGATTGGATTACCCTTAAAATCGATCGGACACCTTAAAAATTAAAAAGAACATTCTTTCTAAGGTTTCCATGTTTAGGTTTTTAAGGTGTTTATTAGGTGCATACCTAATTATAGTAAAATAAAATATATTCCTTAAAGTCTTAAAAAAATTGAAAATTAAAAGGGTTACAAAATATGTATTTCTTCTTTATGTATGTATATGCTAGAAGAGCTAGAAGAATGTCAGACTGTACTAATAAAAATTACACATAATTAATTGCAGTATGCCATATATGAATTCTCGTATAAGACCATATGAGGAATACATTTTTTTATTTGAAAGTGGAAGACAAAGACATATTATGAAATAAAATATCTTCTTTAATTAATATTATATTTAATGTTGAAATTTTGTACAAAAAATCAACATTAAATAAAGACAATGAAACTTGAAACTAATAGATGTTTTATTTCAGCATATTAATTTGTTGTTTATTGAAATTACTGGGATATATTACCCCATGTCATTTTCCTTAGGAGTGCATATTCCTTTTCAATACTATCCTACAATTGCTTCTTGGTCATGTTGCTCTAAAAACTGAAGAGTGTATATTTGTTTGATGACATATGTTTATGTTAACCCTGATGGTGCTGCAATTTGTTTTAGAACATAGTTCACCTAGAAAATATAATACTGGTTATGTCATTTTTTTATGTAATTGTGATATGTTTTGATCTGTAATGTGTTCTGTAATGTGAGCTGTTTTCATGACAAATTAAAAATTTATTCCTGTTGGTTTAATATATAAACAAACATAAACATTGAAAATTTGAAATTTTTAGTTTGATAGTTGTTAATGTTGACTAAATATCATATTAAAAGAAAATAACCATCTATTAAGAATACCGATATTTTATATGCTACACCAAGGATATTTTTATACTTAAATACTTCTATTAGTACTTCTTGAAAAAATATTATAATCTACGTCCTACATCCAATCTAAGTCCAATGAAAAATATCGAATTTTGGATTGTAGCATTATTTCAGAGAATCATAGTGCGTTGGAACAGATGGTTGTATGAACATCAGCATTTTCTACAATACTAAATATAATAGATTTATTTGGTATTTTAGTATTTGAGATTAATTCTATAAAATTTATTGTTCGTTCTTATAAATGTTGGTTTAATTAATTCACGGTTATTCAGCTCATTAGACACGGAGTAATGTACTGTAGCCAAACGATTAGATTTTTACAAATTGTAAGTTTTGGATTTGTTGTAGGACTATTTATAATTATTTGCAACAAGTACTACAGTGTCCCAAATAAATAAAAATATCAAACACTAGTTAAGTAGATGTAAAAGAGGACTAATTAATATGATCTCAGTATTCGAACTACATACATTAATTGACTATTTGCGTTGATTAATAATTGCTCCAGTACTAAAAAAAACTGAATTTTGTATGTGTATTAGACAATGTGGTAAAAGTAACACCTAAATTTTATGTCATTTTTTGATAAATGCTTATTTATAATAACAGAGACGTTCATATTCATAACTTTTTAATATATTGATTTCTGATTCAAATCTACATTTATTTATAATAATTTATTAACTAACACAATTAAATGTGATTAATTAATATTTGGGCGGAAATAATGGTGGTATATTTAATTAATGGTACACTCTTTTGCAAAGATTTAAATAGTTATCTCTTTGTAAACAAATGGGCTAGCAATATTATCGTTTTTAGCATCGGTACAGTCTAAAATGTCAATATTATAAGAAAATGCATTTTCTATGAGAATTTGAAGATATAGGTAAAACGTTATATAATACAATTAAATTGTGCATCTGATTCACGTAAAATATACAGGGTGTTCCATTTAAATTAAACAAGTTATTGCCGTTTAAAGCTAGTAATTATTTAAAATAAATTTTAATATAAAATAAAATTTTTAGACACTCTGTATAAGATAGTATTATTTTTATTATTGCAACACAAAATTTAGAAAACAGAAAAACTTCAGTACAATATTTGGTTTTAAAAACTTAAATACCCCTAGAGAAATAAAGCATTAAAATTGTTACTGCATTTTTAGGTGAGATAAACCTTAATCAAAGTTATCTTTATTTTAATTGGAGAAACTAAAAATTTCATAATATAGAGAGTGTTCCATTTAAAAAAATACAACATTGGTATTTTTTATTTATTCGGAACAATCTGTATCTTACAAAAGTACGTTTAAATTGTAGCTCTAATAGTCCTTAAACAAACCCAAATCTTTTATAATTTGGAAAAATTCAAAATCTTTGGCTACAATACTCCGTGTCGAATGAGGTGAATAACCCTGTATAGCAAGATTACACCTTCGATGGTATTAATCTGAAAGCGCTGTTAGTTCCTTACCTAATTTTTGAGTTAATATTATATTATCCTTTAAATTTATCCCACTATCTACTAGCACTTTTATTTTTCTGTTGGGTATAGACTCATAAGGTAAATAAGTATATAGATATTCTTGTGTGAATTTTCACTATCTTGAAATCACTAAAACAAAGGTAAATTAATAAATGAATTTTTTCCAATATGTGAAAACCAATATTGGAAGACAAAAAAAAATAGTTTACCAGATAGTCCGTTCTTTATGTTTTACCCTCTCTGATTGTATATTATCCTCTCTGATAGTCTTATCAGAAGTTGCAGTGAGGCTCCTTTACCCTATATTTCAGATTTTGTGACTGACATTTCCTACAAATATAGGGAATATAGGATGTAAATTATTTTATATTACGCTTTGGGATTACCTATGAATGTCGGCAGTTTTTCTACATGATACACAATGATGGTGCTTCAATTATGAAAGAACATGAAGATGATATACCACTTCTTAACCATAAGAAAAGCATGTTTTCCACAAGACAAGTGACGGATTCATCTGTCATACAGCTCTTCACCTCGTTTCCCTTTAGTAGTTTTGTTCTGTTTCTATAAAAATATCAGTTCATTCCACTTTAACTGTACCTACAAATTTTACATATTGCTTATCACCTCTATCTGCAACACGATCTTTTTATAAATACTTATAACTAAGAGATTATAAATACATGTGTAAAAGTTAATATAAACAATTACCTATTAAATTAAATATAAAATATAAAAAAATATATGTTCGAATATAACAAATTTATTTTCTAACTATTTTAAAATTGATTAGACCCGATTACTTAAAATTATTTACCAAAGTAGTAATAGGAAATATTTTATTTAAACTAGGATGTTATAAATAAAACAAAATAGTTTATATAAAGAAATAATAGAATATAAGCTTCTTTACTTACAACCATTTTTATGTTTTCTTTTTGAAAGTGAATTTTCTACACTGGTTAGTTCTTTTATAACTTGAATCACTTTTATTTTATTTTAACAGTGAATATTATTATTTTCAGGCCTATCTTCTATACACTTTCATGGTCATATATTTCTCTTGTCTAGCGAAACCTGATTATGCTGCAATGTTCAATTTTGTTATTAGTCCCATTAGAAAATAAAATACTGTATTTTTTCTCTACAAAATTACATAACATGATTTATTGTGCTGATGGAGCTGCAAAATATCAATAAATATTTTGAAATTAAAGTACCTTTGTATAAATCAAATGTGAGGACAGTTTTATACATACGTTGAATTAAAAAGAAAATGTGAATTTACAATTTTGTGATTTTTAAATGTATAGAAAAGTTAATCTTTAAAAATGGCCATATTTTAAAAAACATTGGTATTATTTGACATATAAAATATTATTTTAAAATTTAGTGTAATATTCCCTGCATATTTTATAAAAACATGGAAGTGAAACTATATAACACTTGAAAAAGAAGAAGATATGAAGAAAGATATGAAGCTAATTTACAACCCTGTATTTTAAATAACTTGAAAAAATATATACTAGAGCCTAGGGCTTAACTGCTCACCTGAATTAGTTAAATCCTGGGTAACGTTATCACAGAGTCATTCATAGAGCAGGAATAGTTATGTTTCAGTTTTATATCAACCAAATTTTACTATCATCACAAAACAACATAATTACAAAAGGCATTGTGTTATATTTTCAAAGATTCTTGTCATATTTTTGGTCTACAAATACAAAACATTATTAATTTTCTTACTCCTCAATTATTAAAATATAGCTGATCCTCAAAGAAAGTTAATATCTGACTCGAAAGTTTATAAACAGCAAATGTCCATCTACAAATAAAATTCACAAATGTGTTTTTAATATAGCATTTTTAAACAAGCTAAGCTGGCTAGCCTCAGGCAAAGAATATTGTATTTTCGTAGTAGAATTATCTTTGACTTTTTTGTCATGGCTTCTCCCATCACCGGGAGAAGAAAATTTTATCAGTTTTATTGCAATACTAAACATATGTTTATATGTACTTACTTTTCAGTATTTTTGGAAAATTATGCATTTTGGCTAAATTCTGGACTCATCTTTGTTATTTCCTCCATAGATCTATCAATACAACATTTTTCTTGAGCGAAATATAGGCCTTGTTCCCATGTTGGTCTTCAAATAAAAATTAACTAATTGCGTTGAAATTCACTAATTATTGTGGTTAATAGATACCTCTGGGTAATTCGCGCAATATATAGGATATTAGTGATCACTTAAACACACATAATATTGCTAATACAACCAAATACTTTGGAAATTCGCAAGCGAAAAATCAAATCGACAATCGATATTTGATATGAGCAATGGCTGTCGCGGCGTCGCGTAGAGCGGGACTAGCGGGAGGCGGGGACTAAAACGGATGCGGAAATAAAAGCAGTAAAATATGTACCGGGTCATTTAAATTTGCGAAACAGCGCCCTCTCACTACAGATGCTAATTTTCCAAAGAAGTTTGATCTGGCCAGAGATCCGGCAGGCCTAATTCCCATATGCGCTTGATCGTCTCGTAGTTGTCTCTGCTATAAATAAAAAACATATTTTTTTTTATTTTAGACTTGAAAAATAATTTTTCCAACGTGAATAATTGGTTGCCTACGTATAGCTCTCTAGCAGTGTTGTCATGTTGGAGAATGAATCTTAATTTCTATTAAATACTAGGTAAACAAAATAGAAGTTAATATCCATGTCCATATTAACCAAAATAAAAATATATGAACGAATTACAGATTTTCTATAAACTCAAATAATTTACTTAATATACTATTTAGTCATAGGTAGGTACCTATCTTTTTTTTAATGAAATTGACATTTGAAAAATAAAATTATTTTTCTGTTGCTGTTGTTGTTTTGGTGTATTGTGGTGATTTAGTGTTTTATTTTGCTGTGTAACACCAAAGGTTCCAACCCCCAACTGTAAGTACATACACTATAAAAGCTATTCTAATTATTTTTTTTATATCGAAGAATAATAATAAATTCGGTTAATAATTCAACTCATAAAATCACAGTTTTCTTTAAAAGTTAAGAAATATCAAAACACGATATTTTGAATGCTGCATGTATAAAATGTCATTGATCGTCATTTCTAAGGTAACCTAACGCATTTTTTTACGATCATACGGTTTAATAATAATTATACACTACATATAATATCTTTATAGCAATAAAAGTTAGTAAGCACTTTTTTATTTTCATTCGTAAAGATACATACGAATATATTCTACATTATTTCCTTCACATCATTTATGGAGTCATTTTATTTTGTTTTAAAATATTAATATTTTGAGACACTCTGTAAGCTGATTTACACATTTTTACCACAATCTGGCATCGTCGCGTTCAAGCAAACGTGCATTGTAAACGTCACGAAAAATCTGTCAGTTAAATCAACGCCGCTTAGATCATCTGTTCAAGAAATGGCGATCGTATGGAGTCTCGTTCGTAAAAAATAAAAGAAAATGTGCCGTTTTTCGTATTTTGAACGGACAACAGTGGTCTTTTATTTTAACTGACTTAAGTTATGCTTAATACGTCCTTTGTGTAAATTTGTTTGTGCGGAAAACGGTAAATTGGTGATATTTTCGTGACTGTTTTGTGTCCTGTTCGTTACCTGTAGCAGAATAGAGTTTTATTCCATCTATTAAAATGACCGGATTTTACTGTGTTTTGCTTATTGTCACCTGTTGTGCTTTTGTCAAGGTATGTCGTTGCTTTATTTGTTTTTTCGTGAAATTTTTACATGATTATCGTGTGGGCACGATACTATTCAAGACATTATTTACCTACTGTCAACTTTGTTTACTTGTTTATTTCTTTTTACCTGTTGCTTATATTCAATCCATTGTTTAATAATTGTAACAGATTAGCTTTCGCAATTGTTCTGTTCTGATTTAGTAGCCATGAATTTATTGAAAGCTTATTGTGAACGTGAACTAGGTATTAGATAAAGAGGGACTTTCTCTTTTTCAACTTTATTTTTAGCACCATTTTCCACGGTTTACTGTCTATAAATTCGACATTAATTTAATTTTTTATTACTTAATGAAATTAAATGTTTGGTTTTTAATAATAGGTACTTATTTACGAGGGTACTTATGTTTAATTTTTGAAGAAATGCACCCTCCACGCATTGTTTACGTATGGTTACAGATATATCTATAAAATATGTACCCAATACACACCTGTAATGGTAACACCTGTATTGTATAGATATTAGCAAGGATATTAGTTATTTATTTATAGAGGGAATATTTTATATAATACCGTATAATCGAAAAAAAACGGGCTATGAAACGAAGATCGCTGTCATTTTATATGTAAAATTATATGAGGAATCTCATCGATCGTCATTTTCCAGCAAACTAGACGCCGTTTTTTTTTCGATCGTACAGTACTTAGGTACTCCTTTCTGTTGTTTTGTTATTATGTCATCGTGAATTACCCAATATGAATTTAAAAATCAAAAAATGTGACGACTTTCGCCTATTTGCAGTTTGGGAACGTATTGATCTATTTTAAGGAATTTACTTAAAAGGTTCATATATTTATTTAAATTATTAGGTATACAGTATGTCCCCGAATTGCCTTTACAAGAGGGAACACTTTTTTATTATTTACATTTTGAGAAAATGTAATTTTCCGAGCATTTTTCATAAAAATGTTTGATTGTTCTAAAATGGTTAATTCCGTTTATATTTTTCAAAATTTCCGTTTAGAGAAAATTAAAAAAAAAGATACAGTTGATTTTTTTCTAAGTTCTAAAAATCAAAACGCGTTGCTATGGTAACATAGTTTCAATTTCATTGTTTGATAGCTTGTTATTTTTTAATTAACGTCATATTTTTTGCTTTTTTAAAATGCCAAAGAAGCACAAAATTTATTTAGTTTAATGATATGGAAATGGTGATAATAGTTATTAAAAAATGTGATACCGAGTGTGATACTTTAACGACCGCAAAAATATGACGTTAATCAAAATTAATAATAACCATCTATCAAAGAATTAAATCAAAATTATATTACCATAGAAACCCGTTTTAATTTTTAGGACTTAGAAAAAAATGAACCATATTTTCATGCTTTTTTTAGTTTTCCCTAAAACGGTATCGAAATTTGGAAAAGTTAGGGATGTTGGGTTAGTAAAAGTTGGAAAGAAAAAGGAATATTTTATAAAGTATGCATTTTTCTCAAAATGTCAATAATAAAAAAGTTTTTCCTCTTGTAAAGATTGTAAAGACAATCCGGGGACATACTGTATAAACTTAATATTTTAGTGTAATTAATTCCAAGGTGTAAAATTATGTTTTAATGGAGGTATTAATATTTTGTTATAATATATCTTCTAGACTTGATGTCTTTTAAATCAAGCAACTTAACTACTTAGTATATTCATATTCATATAGTATGTTATTAAATTCAAGGAAAACCAGAGGTTTAAATACTTATTTTTGTCTTAGTTTTAAGTAACAAATGTCACAAACAGTGTAAAACGTGTAATGGATGCATGATCATAATTGGACAAATATTTCAAAAAAATGATAATAAAAAAGTAAGATTTCAAAGAAGAACAATTTTATATGCAGTATGTCCCCGGATTGGTTTTACAAGAGGAAAAACTGTTTTATTATTGACATTTTGAGAAAACTACATTCTTCATAACAAATTGTGCTTGTTTTGAACTGGTTAATCCCGTTTATACTTTTTTTACCAAATTTCCATACCGTTTTAGAGAAAATTAAGAAAAAGGTGAAAATATAGTTGATTTTTTTTCTAGGTCCTAATTCATTTCAATTTCGATAGATGGTCATTGTTATTATTGTCAAGGTGTATTACTGGTTGCATAACTGCATACTGCTAAAAATCCTGGCGCATTCGCCAGAAAGTAAAGAAAATTATAAAATTCTTTAGAAAAATCTAGAAACAACCGCCAGGGGGTATATAAGGCCCGCGCTTTGACAGTTGGACAAGTTAAAGTTTGAAGTTTGAAGTCTAAAGTTTGAAAATACCGCGAAATACCGTCAGAGTAATAGTAGTTGCATAAGTTGTGTTGTAAATAGTATAAGTTGTGTGTACAGAGTGAAACAAATAAATTCGTTAAGTATTTTATCGTGAGTTTAAATAGTGGACCCACGGAATTCGTAACATTATTAATGATTTCGATAGATGGTTATTATTAATTTTGATTAACGTCATATTTTTTGCTGTTGTTAAAAAATCATTTTTTCCGATAACTATCATCAACCTTCTGTAGCTTTGAACTAAATTAATTTTGTGCTTTTTTAACATTTTAAAACAACAAAACATATTATATTAATTAAAATTCTATGAATAACAATCTATCAAAGAATGGAAACGAAGTTACATAGGTACCTATGTACCTATATTATCACAGCAACGCGTGAAGCTGATCCAAGAAGATCGACATATCACATATCGTGAAATTGAAGCATGATTTAAAAAACGATGTACTTAAACAGCCGTTAAACGGTAGCCTACTAAAATGCCGTTAATAGATATTGTGATGTCGTTCATGTCGGCGGAAAGTAATGCCTAGCCTTAAGCATTCTGCAAGAGCACCTGTGGGTCAGTGGCTGAGGCTATCGCCTCGCAAGCGAATGGTCCGTGGTTCAAATCTCACGCCGACCAAGACTTTTTTTATATATTTTTTTGCTTATAGCGTGATCTTATTGCATTGGTTTCACTCTTTTTAGTTGGATTAGTTTAGTTATTTGGCGGGTTGGTTAGCGTGGTTATTTGGAGGGTGTTAATTCATTGGTTAGTTGGTTATTTGATGGGGTTGGTTGATTTTTACTAATTTATATTTGTTTTTATATTTTTTATCAGTGTCGAGGTTAGTTGCGTTGGTTAAGTTGGTTATTTGGTGGGGTGGATAGCGTTGGTTAGTCCTTATAAAATTTCTATATTTCATAAAGCCGTCAAGTGCGTCACATCAACGACGTCATACCTATTAACGGCATTTTAGTAAGCTACCGTTTAACGGCTGTTTAAGTACAGCCTTTAAAAAATAGTTTCTCGTTGGATCTGTTGACGGAAGAACAGAACGCAATTGAAGGGGTGGCTGCAATAACCAGGCAGCTCCATTTTAAGGAATTTTGCTTGCTGCAAACAGTTCCCGGAAGCTACCCTGGTTTTTGCTGCAAACTGAAAGCAAGTTAGCCATGGGCGCCGGAAGAATAAAATTTAGGGGGGGGCAAGGTAAGAATGAATAAAAAATTGACATTTTTGGTAATTGTTGGGAAAACTGGAAATCGTCCGATTTTCACCAAAATTGGTATACACCCTATTTCGAAGTCGTTGATTACGAATCTGAACTTTTTTCTTGGCGGTCTCTTACCGTTTTTCAGAAAAACGGAAAATAATTTCAATATCGAATTTTTCTTAATTTCTCATATTTTTAAGGTTTTCTAGCACATATTTTGTTAGGTATTCAATAATCAATAATGTTTTTGCTATTTTCTGTTACTTTTTTAACCAATTCTATGCATAATAGAGGAAAATTTGCTAAAATAAATTTGTAAACAATCTGAAAATGTTAGGTTATAGCTTTGTTCGGGTTCTTGTTACTACCGATTCTGAACCGTCCAAGAACTCTGCAGCGCATGCATAAATGAAATAATATCTTCATATTTCCTTCTGCGCATACGCATCACAGTTCTAGGACGGTTCAGAATCGGTAATAATAAGAGAAACCCGAAGGAAGCTTATGTGTTTCTGGCATTTAAAGCAACGTTGCCAATGCTAAACCTAAATTTAGCGTGTTTTTTTCGCTCATTCTGGAATTACGAAAGGCGGTCGCCAGAAGAACGGCTCCTTCCCATAACTGCTATTTTACCAACGAGATCTGACTATTTATACCCACGAAGTTGCACGAAAGAGTTTTGATTGCATTGGTTACAACTTCCATGCAGAGGGTGTTAATCTTTTGTTGTTATATTATTAGATTAACTAAAAAAAGATTAACCCCCTCCGCAAAGAAGTTAAAACCAATGCAGTCAAAACTCTTCCGCGTAATTTTGTGGTTATAGGTGTATATTTAATTATTGTCGATCTCATAATAGGTAATTTATTGAAAATCCGTAATCACCCGAAAAAATAGAAGATATGGCAACGTTGTAAATTTTCAAATTTCTAGATTAGGTCTAGAATATATTTGTCTCTCTTATTACATAGGAGAGAGAAAGAAGGATATATCAAATATCAAACTTCCATCTGGTCTCAATTTTCTTTGCTATTTTGTTAAGAAAAGTGTTTTTCAGTAAAATTTTGGACACTTTTCTATCCCCAATCAAGTGTGGCTTTTAGATAAACTATAATATAATGAAAATATAATGAAATTATTACTTTATAGGGCCGAAATAAAGAAAAATTCAATGTTGAAATAATTTTTCGTTTTTCCGAAAAACGGTAAGAGACCGCCAAGAAAAAAGTAGATTCGTAATCTACGACCTCAAAATAGTGCGTATACCAATTTTGGTGAAAATCGGACGATTTCCAGTTTTCCCAATAATAACCACATTTTTTATTATTTTATAGGTAACACCTAACAATTTCATAATAATGATTATTTTTTTACAGATGGATGTAAGAAGATAGCTTTTATTTTTATTGTTTCAGTGATCCAGGGGGGGGGGGCAAATGCCCCCTCTTGCCCCCCCTGTCCGGCGCCCATGAAGTTAGCT